CCTTTGAAAGACTGTTTTTGAGAGTCTTTTGAGTCTTTTTTAAAAAACACAATTGTACAAACACATACAGGTCTACACCTAAACAATATGCATATTATTAATTTGTACTTACTTACTTAAAGGAGTAGTTCACTTTTAAAACAAACTTTTGCTGATAATTTACTCGCCCCCATGTCATCCGAGATGTCCATGTCTTTCTTTCTTCAGTCGAAAAGAAATTAAGGTTTTTGATGAAAACATTCCAGGATTTTTCTCTATATAATGGACTTCAATGGGGTCCAAACGGTTCAAGGTCCAAAAGAAAGTTTCAGTGCAAACTGCAAACTGTTCAAAGGGCTTTAAACGATTTCAGACGACTTATCAAGCGAAACGATCGCTCATTTAAGAGTAAATAACATATAAGCTCAAATGCTCGCCTTGCTCTGTTCTGTGATGCGGGTTCGTGACTCTCCTGTTCGAACTCATTCATCAAAATGAATAAATCTTTTTTCGTGTCCTTTGGTTGATTCAATGAATGAATTGATTCTGATCATTTTGATGAACAGGAGAGTCACGAATGCGCATCACAGAACAGAGCAAGGCGACCATTTGAGCTTATAAAACTAAAACTTTTTTATTTATTTTTTAAATGAGTGATCGTTTCGCTTGATAAGACCCTTATTCATCGTCTGGAATCGTTTGAAGCTGCACTGAATGTGTCTTTTGGACCTTGAACCGTTTGGTTCCCATTGAAGTCCATTATTTGGAGAAAAATCCTGGAATGTTTTCATCAAAAACCTTAATTTCTTTTCGACTGAAGAAAGAAAGACATGGACATCTTGGATGACATGGGGGTGAGTAAATTATCAGCAAAAGTTTTTTTAAAAGTGAACTACTCCTTTAAGTACTACTTAAGTTCTACTTAAGTGGGTGAAAAAGCACTCAAATGTTCAGTTAATTGCATGCGTTTAATATAAATATAATCTATGATACAGTTTTATTTAATTGCAATTATTATGCAGTGTCCAGAAACCTTATTTTAAGTGTCCGCTTGAAGTATATTCCTTTAAATTATAAAGTATTTTCTCCTTGTAAAAATAGTAAGCACCACTAATAAGGATAATTTGAACAAACTGCCAAACCCTAAGTATTGAACTTTAGTGCATAAGTTATCATGTACCATTTGTGCTATAAACTATGAGTTACAATGAAGTGCATACTGTTACTATGTCATGACTTAGTAGCCTACAAATTTACATGTAGATGTTGCAAACAAGTATGAAAAAAGCAATGCATGCGAAGCATTGCTCACACTTTGACTTTACTTCAGTTTCATTAACTGGACAAGAACATTGTGTCATTGAATAACAGGTCACGAGTTATGAGGAAGCAAGAACTGTTAACTAAGCAAACATAGGAAGCATACTGCAGCACTCCACGCTCCATGAGAGGACATTAGAGAAGTCAATTCAGGAGCCGAGATAGGAAGCAGGAAAAGGGTGGCGCTGAGTCAGTTCTCGGATTTACTTGTTTTTGCAAAACGGAAAACAAACTCAAGCAATTGCCGGGGTAATGAAATGATGCAGCACATGACTAACATGTGATCAAAATCGGAGCAGAGGGGAGGATTTTTTTAACCGCAAAAAATTGTCCTTAAATTTGAACATCCTTGTGAAAAATATAATTGCTCTTAACAGTTATGAATTTGCATTCATGTTGCACTTCAAATCTTAAAAATGTATTTTTTTTTTTTTTTAAACTACAGGCCTACTTGCAGATAATGCAATATGAATAAAAAAAATGTGCACTTTGTAATAGTCAATTTCAATTCTGCTCTTTGATAATTAGAACCATCCATTTTATTGATGTAAATTCCAGTAAAGTATATTTTGTATTAAGTCAATAATCACATGCTCCATTAAAAAACACATCGGTTGTAATCCATGTTGGGTCTTAACAAAGACAGTTCTCACTGTTTTATTTAGTGGATGGCAATACTGGTTAATGAACAACATTTGTCGCCTGATGTTTATATTTGTTAATAAATTGTTAATTTTTCGCTTTGTTAGTAAATTGTATGTTTCGAGTATTTTTATGTCATGTAAAGACTGAAATGACCAGGAAACAAGGTGAAACTCACTCTCAAAGTTTGTTGACCTTCACAGAAAGGGGCAGCAAGAATGTTCCCCTAACATTCCCATATGGTTCCCATTTGGTTTTTTTTTGGAACCAAATAAGAACGTTCTAAGAACGTTCCCTGTAGGTTATTTTTAGGCTTAATTTTATAACCAAAGGAGAACGTTCTGGGAATGTTATTTTAAGGTTCTATTTTATAAACTAAAAGGATCGTTCCTATTAAATTTCCAGAACATTCCCCAAAACTTAAGGGAACATTCTATTTACATTAAGAAAACTTTCCTGGGTAACCAATAGGGAACATTCTGGGAACCAAAAACTAACGTTCCCAGAATGTAGAATTGTTAGCTGGCCACGGTAGTAAAAACATTACGTTTCATTGAGTAAGGTCTTTATACACCACTGAACACATACAGTAGTTATGGATTTTATATTGCATTTCTGTCAATAGATCCTCAGAAATATCACACATTGCACCTTTAACCCCCTGGAGCCAGATTCACTTAAGTGGCTTTTTTCCACATTAATATTATATTATTTGCAAGTACGGTTTAATAAATGCTTTAAATACGGTTCGTTTTGATGTACACTGTGAGCACATTCAATATTCACAAGGGTTGTTAATAATTAAGTATTAATAGTAATAGTATACTAAATTAATAGTATTATAATAGTAATAAATTACATTTTTAAGGATTTTAAGGATATTTTTTATTTATACACGTAAACAATTTTAGTACAGTGTTGTGTCGATGCTTGACGTTATGTAAATGAGCAACAATTTTATGAGTCAACTACCAATGGGAGAACAGACAGTGTCTAAGCAACACACATCCTTTGATTGTACACACATGATAACAACAAAGAGTTGCATAATAGTGTTACCACCCTGGGAACTTGATCCAAGTTTTGGTGGCAAATTGTCATGTTGAAATGAGTAACGCTGACACTTTGTGGCTGTAAATTGAACTGGGAGGGTAAAGTGGGCCAAATATCAAAACCATAGCTTCATCTTTAGCATTAGCATCCAGCTTGATTCTGATCTGGAGAGTATGTTATAATAGTTTATCTATTATTTGCATTCTGCTTGTCATTTCTGAAGTTCAAAAAAAGGTCAGTTGTCTCATTTGTAAGCGAGCTGGACAAAGCAAAAATTACTTGTTTCAAACGAAGCACATGCATTTTTGGTCTGTGAGTGTACACTGTGTTCTCGTTCTCTCACCACAAAGGCACGCTGTGTACAGAAAGTGCAGAAGGAAGTCACACGTGTACGCACGTACACTTTTACACATGTTGTCAACATGCAGCATTACCTATTTATGTAACCAAATGGCCCACAAAGAATCATAAATAACTATTGTGAGTCTTACTAATAAACTCTATAATTATTGCTAGTCAAAGCCGCCTGGAGTATGTGTGCTTATGGAATATGTTTGTGCAATGCATGGCATACCGAGACATTTTTGGGATCCTCCACATGAAGCTTGCTGACAGGGTGAAGGGTTGTGATTTATATGGTGCTGCTTTTTACACTGACACACGACTCCTCCACGAAGCCCAAACAACAGGATGCTTCGTCCTGCAGTCATCTAGATAGATTGGACAAATTTTAGATAAACTCTCATGATTAAAAAGAAGAAAGACAATAAAAAGGTCAGTTGTATGTTCATAAAGCATAAAATGGATAATGCACAACCTTATGATTCAACATTTTATGACAATCAGATACCTACAGCCTTCGCTATCATATTTAATAGGCTATGTGAATGTCTCTAAATTAACATGATCCTGAAAAACCTGTTGGCCTCGATGATCTAGCCTATGCCTTCTGCCATCTGATTGAAAGTTTATACTTTTTTAGTAAGTGAAAGGCCTTTTAGAATAATTCTATAAGCCGATTCAGATCATACAAGCTTTTTGCTGTGAAATCTTGACTGACTTTTCTAAACTAAACGTACTACTGTATATGAGACAAAAGCTTGATGTATCAAAAATGATGAACATACACATTTCCCCCCTTAAAGCTTAATAAACTGTTCAAAATATTTCTTTTAAATCTTAAAAGAGGCTTAAAAGAGGCACAATCTTCAAGGGGCTTTTGGGGTGTTGATATTAAATAAGAAATAATAATATTATATGCCATGTTGAATGTGCATTTATCACTGTCATGACTGCTGTAAACAATGCTCCCTGTTCATTCAACATAGTCACATGCTGGTCCATAACTTTACATTACAGTTTGTTGACTTACATTTCACATCCTTGTCCTTCACAGCATGTTAAAAACATGTTTTTCCTCAGGCCCTGATGGAAAATTTTACATGGAAGTTTTGTAGGTGGAAGCATTCAGTCCCTTCTGAGAATTATAGCCTAACCTTACTTCAGTAGACTTTTAAACGGAGTAGCTAAATACTTAATAGTAATTGGCTAAGTAGTTATACTTACACATTTGTAATGATGTAGCCTAGTTGCAGCACGTGGGTTCTGATTTCAAACCACTGAAAATGAGCACATCTGGTTTGACACTTTGTAAATTGGGTTTAATGTTGGGGGAGCTGATATTTTTAAGTGAGGTTTGTTAGCTTAACTGTTAGCATTAGCACTAACGTTACAGAATGAAAAGACAGGGCTTACAGAAAAATATTTAACTCAAATCAAAACTGTCTCTTGAAATGTAACGTATTTTATTTTTTTAAAAGAACTGATATTGCTTTTGTGAAATATTTCCTGCACTGGATGTTAAATCTCTAATCAGGTGACTTATTAGAAGAACTCGTAATTTTAAGTGTACACACTGACGGGAAATATCGCCATCTGCCGGCTGACTAGTGATGCCTAAAATGTTTTAATGACGTAGCTTTACTCTTAAAGATGTAGCTCAAATAGAAATGTCATCATTTACTGACATTCAAGTCAAAACTCACAGGATTTTCTTTCTTCTGTGGAACACAAAAGAATACATTTTGTAAAAATGTCCACTCTTAGCCACTTATTTCAATTTACTGGTAATGGGAGTGAATATAAAACTGGGAATGTCAAACTCCAGAATAAAACAATAATAAATAAAAACAATCACAAAAAGTAGTCCCAATGTTTTTTGTCACACACAAAAAACAGATGAAGTTTCTCATACAGTTATAGTTTGCAATTCAAGGCATTATCAGGTGTAAACATAAGATGCACGTTATATGGTCTGTAGTGTCCGCTCCTATATCTGTGTGTTCCCTTTCTAAGCAGAGCTTTGCAATTACAATAATTAAATTAAAAGCATAATTAAAACTTTCCTTCAGTAACATTCCAGCACACTGTTAGAATAGCAGCAGTATTTGAGTCCATCATACCGTTTAAACAGCATCTCAATAGCAGCATTGATTCTCTGATCTTGATTACATTAGTCATGAAATGAAATTCAGTCCCCTGTATTAACCTGATTCAGTATGTGTCAAGTTGAGACAAAGAACATGCCTGAATTAAGACACTTCTTAAACTGTGGTTAGGGTTAGGGTTAGTGATGTCCGCATTAGTACACTGCTTCGTCCATATTGTCATCACTATCTGCTCCAAATTCCTCTCCGTTGTCAAAGTAAGAAATGATGTAGTCTGTCTCCTGAAAAAAAAAAAATAATTTTTGTAAATGACAGCTGAACAAATATATGTTATATAATTTTAAATATAAAAAATATGTTTTATGTCAAATTATGAAGAAAAAAAAATTCTTACATCTTCAATCTCCTCTTCATCATAATCTTCATCCTCATCTGGCTCCTCCTCATTATCCTGTTTCTTCTTCTCCTCTTCCTCCTCTTCCTCTGAATGTTGATCTTGTTCTCTTTTCTCAAGTGTCTAAATGTTATTCCATAAAATGAACATTATTAACATGCTGCATACAGATATATATATATATATATATATATATATATAAATTAGGGCTGTGCAAAGATTAATTGCGATTAATCACATCCAAAATAAAAGTTTGTGTTTACAATATATTTGTGTGTGCTGTGTATAATTATTTTGTACATGCATGTATATATTTTAAGAAAATGTGTTATTCAGATATAAAATATTTATATATAATATAGATTATGTAATTAAATATATACAGTATTTACGTGCAAATGATTCTTAAATATATACATGCATGCATATGTATTTATATTTACAAAATAATTATACACAGCACGCACACACATATATTATATACATTTTTATGCGATTAATCACAATTATTCTTTGCACAGCCCTTAAAAAATATGTAAATAAGGAGAAAGCAAATGGCTAATTTGCTTAATTTGTTGCAATTTGTCAATATAATTTTTGATATAGTTTGTGTTTCTAGTTAAAGTCTTTCAATCTGTTTTTTTTTTCCTCGATTTATTTGAATGTCCAAGCATGTTTAAAACCGTTAATGCAACATAGAAAAATATTATGGTGTCAAGAGTAAACTCGAACCTCTAGTTTTTGGAGAACCTCTTCTTTGCCAGCAGCTGCTTTTGGTTTTCGCTGGAGTTGTGGCTTAGCACCTATGATTACAGAACAAGGGTATTTAATAGACAAATGGTTTACCTGTACTCCCATTTTAACATGTATTGGGTGGCTTTAGCACATTAGACTGTGAACCAACGCACATGGTAATAATAATAACAGAGTTTCTCACATGTTTTTCGGGGTTTTCGTACTTTAATACAAAGCTCTTTTGGCAGTCGGCTCCAGTCTGAAATGAAATCAAATATTTTTAGAGAGACCTGACTTTTACATTTTTAACCATTTTTACAGCAGATACATGTTTTTCAGGATTCTTTATGTTTAGACCATTTAAAAAAGAACAGCATTTATTTGTAATGGAAACCTTTCATAACATTTTAAATGTCTTTATTATAGCTTTATTATCTGTTGTGTCTCACCTGGACTCCATTCAATTGTGTTGTTCTTGGGCTCACCATTTTGGTATTTATCAGAGTACCGTGCCACATCTAAAAAAGAAGACAATAAAGAGAGCCGTTCAAACCTGGTCTTTGACAATCCATGCCTGATGGGTCGTTGGCTCTGAATATTTCAGTGACTGCCCACAGTTCAAATGCAAATCCAGAGATTGCATGACCTTATTCTCTATGGGCCTGTTTACACCTGGTTTTGGTCGATCAGATCACAAGTAGACAAGGGAGACACATACTAGCGCCAGACCGATATTATCGGCCGATATTAGGCGTTTTCCAAACTATCGGTATCGGCAGTTATAATGGCCAATAAATGAATATTTCAAAAATAAAACAAAAACAGACGAAACACACTTGAACCATGTCATGAGTGTTGGAGTTGTATAGTTTGTCCACCAGAGGGCGCTCTACACCGTTCCTGTAGGCAACACTCGTTGAGTTGTTCATGATACATACATTGCTTGAATAACAATTAAAAGAACATCCCCATCAGTTCTCTTAACTCAAATAATCATGACAAAATGTATGACTATCATGTCCAGTTTTAAATAAATAAATAAAATATCGGCCGATATATCGGAGTATCGGATTTTAAAACCCAAAAATATTTGTATCGTATCAGCCTTCAAAATCCTTTATCGATCGGGCACTAACACATAATCGTTTACACCTGGTATTTTAATTAGGGTTGCACGATATATCGGCCATCATATCGGTATCGGCCGATATATGTTCATTTTTAATGTAATCGTTATCAGCACAATTAGAAAATTTGGCCGATATAATAAAGCCGATAAATAATGGATTATTTCCTCCAGTTGAGACACTTCAGATGCGCACTGTTCAACATGATGTTTTTTGTTTGAAATATGATTGGAAAGGCGGGAAAACAGCACAAGTCTGTCATATAAATGACATAAAATTATGAGAACATTATAATCGTGTGTTTGGGACCTTTTATAAAAATTTGTATTTAGATTTATTGGCCAATATTTCGGTTATCGGCTTTCAAATATAAATTTATCGGTATCGGCCAAAATTTTCATATCGGTGCATCCCTAATTTTAATCTGTCTCTTTCGTCCACTTTCATTTACTTCCTGATTTCTTCTACAGGAGGCTCTATGGGCAGGTAAATGCCTGTGCTTTTTCAGATCTTTCGATCTAATACATGAAATAAGAAAGCATAATTTACATATATAGGATGGAAAAATATACAGATTTCTCCTCTGATATGCGCAAGACCATGCCGAACACTGTGAGTTTGTGTTGGAAATCAGAAATGGTGAGAGAACATTGTGCTTTGTACGTTTTTGTCTTCAAACCAAATCCGTCTGGCTAGCATACTTCCCACAAAGTTTACGCATTAGGTCAATAGTTGGAGAAAAGGCAGTCTTTTGTGGCTATGCAAACACGACAACTACCTCTGGAAGTGGTCGAAAGTGGACACGCTCAAAAAGTTTTAGCCCCCATTTTCACACCCGATTGACCAAAACGCATCTTAATACCAGGTGTGAACAGGGCCTAATCATGTTGGATCTTCCTCCTTTGTGCTTATAATTGTCCACTCTCAATGTGCTCTCTATTGCCCACATGTTGCCTCAACCCATCGTACCTGTCTTTGTTTTGGCTGCTCTTATGTGGAACGGCAGATTCTTGCTGGAGGCTCTCAGCTCCTGCTTCAGAGCGAGCATGTAGTCCACCTCTTCTCCTGTAAGCAGAGGCACTGGTCTAAATTGCATAGGCTGAAAGAAAGAAAAAAGAAAGGATTAAACTCAAACAAAAACTTTTTTCAGAACAATCAATTCTCACAAATCCGTAATAAGACATTTGTAGCATTTGTATGAGTAATAACAACAATTGTAGTAAGAAAATTATTGTAATTCAGACTGTTTCTTAGTTAAAAAGCTCTAACCTTACATTTCATGTAATTTTACAGTAAAATACAATTTATGGAAGTAAAAAGTTTTTATTCCTTCTTAATTTGTAATCAGTTATGTACAATAAGGTTTTATGTTACATCTTATGAGTGTTTATTGCATTATTTTGTATTTGTGTGCATGACACGGTGTCTTCATATTAGTAATTACTTTAAATTGTAGAAAATATGTGAACTTCATCATGTGTTCTCTCTTTACCACCAGTTATTATGGTGGATGTCAGCATATTTTAAAGGTACATAACAGATTTTAGAGCAAAAAAGGGCCGTTGGATATATCTGTTTTAAACTGTAAGATGTACATGTTGTAACATTTTTAGACCACAGCTGCCAGTTTTATCTGCCAGATATTTTTCAACAGAGTATATTACATTGTAAAGACACTCATATTACCATTAAAACACTTACAGGAAAAAGAGGAGAAGGTGTGTGTGTAGATGTTGGTAAAGAATCACCCCTCCCAAAACCCAGTGCGTCCACACTGAAGGTAAACTGGCTTCTCCCACGACCTCTGCCTCTACCTGCCATGACTGGACCTGTACAGTAAACACATGTGCATGAGCATACAACAAGCCAACAGCAATAAAAAACATCCCATGATGAAAGTAAATGTTTAGATTAGTCACTTGAACGGCTTACCTCAAAATGTGTTTCAGGCTCGATCCCTTAGTAAAGACGTGCACTGATCACCAGCTGCCTGCTGAATGTAAAGCCATGTGTTAGGCACAGTCATTAGGAGCCTACTTGAACACGTGGGTAGTTGTGTTTACATCCGGCACATGTACACGTGTGGTCCGTCTCAGTCTACAGTCCAACCAGAAAGACTCCTCGGGTAAAAAGTTCCTAGCGCTGACGGTAAGCATTACATTGCTATTACAACTGTTACAACAGGGATATTACAACATATTTGATCGTAATGGTGTTGTAAACTTGTTTTTTTTAATACACCTATAAAATATCGCTACCTGACAGATATCACTGAAATTAGTGTCGTGAGATATCACGTGGAGAGAGTACCGTTGGAGGGCGGAATTATATATTAATAAATAAATAAATATATTTTTTATTTTTATTTTTGTCTCTCTTGCAATTCTGATGCCCCATCCCTCCCTCCTCAGATTTGCGAGAAAAATGTCTGAATTGCTTAAATTCCGTGGTGTTTAAAAAGATTTCACACACAACAGACGTTTGAGATAACAAAAGATAATATATTTGATTTAAACAGTTTGTGGTCGCAGATTTTTTAAAGCTACACTAATCCTGAAAGATTCAAGTGTCAATAGATTTTAACGATTATAGTGTATATTGTGAATAAATGTCAGTGCATAAACCCCATTCACTGAGCAAATACTTAATGGGATAATTCTTTCTGCAAAACCTTAAGTTCACTTTAGACAGTTACACAATTTGCAAAACTCATGTACTTTTTTACTTTTCTTTTTTTTTTTTTTTGTTTGTTGCAAAACTCTAATTCTCTAAAACTAATTCTGGATGCTCTGTTCTCCTTTTTCTTTTTATGTAGTGTCTCTACTCTAATGCTGTGTCAATCTGAACAGAAAGGTGAAAGGAGGATGAGGATATTGTTTAATTTTGTCAGAAGAGTAAGGGGTGAATTTAGTTTTAAGATTTGGTTTTGTGCTTCAAAGTTGTGATAAAAATGGGTGAAGGTTTCAACTTTCAAGAATGAAATGTGTCTTTAGCCGTTGTGAAGAACTATAAGACAAAAACGTCGTGAAATTTTAAGGAGGCTTTCTGAATGTCGAGCGCCCCCTGCAGGAGAAGAACCAGACCTATTACGTCATAGGATACAGTTCAATATTATGTGTAGGCTATTCCAGCAGGTGGCACAATGGTTGTATCTACTTAAATTATTTCACATTATTGAAACTGGCATGGATCTGGCATGACCAGACCAGCAACAGGAAATGTCCATTTGTTATACCTGGATTTGGGCACATTATTTAGCCTAAGTCAGATATTATAGTGGAAACTTGAGTTATGGAATGTAAGTACATTGAACTTTACAATCTTTCACCAATGAACCACAGAATAAAAGCAGACAATTAAATAAGCCTTGAAACCTCTTTCCTCAAATCATGTAGCCTACAGTAGCCTATAGTTGCAGTGATATGCAAAGAATTCAATAAATTCAATCAAACACATTGTGATTCTCATAAATATCAAGTCGGGGCAAGATTCATATATTTTTATATGTTGTTATTTGGTAACAGTTTTTCTGTTGGTTTGATGTTTTGCTGTTGTTGTGAAGAATGTTTAAAGAAGAATGAAGGATGTATTGAAATTTAGTTTTTTTCTCAAACTATATGTCAAAATTTGGGGGGGGGGGAAAGTAGATTTTTTCATATTTTATTCATTTTGACATAATGTATGTTTAATGTTTAACAATATGTTACCATGACAACACATCCTGTGCAGCGCACATGTATCCCTCTCCTTAGGGTGCAGCTGACCATTGTCCGCCATTGTCATACGCATTAACCTCTGGTTAAACACAGCCAAGGTATACCGTTTTGACGCAAGCATATTTCTCAGTACTGCATGCGTGCAGGTCAAACATAATGACTTTGACGAAGGTGGTCCATGGATCTCATTAAAGAACAATAAAAAAGAATATGATTCGTCATCAGGTTACTAACATTAGGTTCCACAAAGCCACGCCTCAATCCATGATTGATTGACAGCTGGAAGTCTCTCTAGATAAAAGCTTTGCAAATAAACGATTAGACTTCATTTACAACTCTACACAAGACACAGGAATACTTCAACATTCAGTGAATTTGAATCCAGTTTTCAGGATGAGGCACATTGAGTTGCATTACACCGGGGCAATATTGTTCTTCCTGCTGTTTTCTGCTACAGGTGCGTTGAAAAGTTTACATTTAATGGTAAATCTCTTTCTCATTTTTATTTCACTGACTGACTCCCACTTTCAGCTTGTTGAATTTCTTAGTTTAATTGGTATTTACATCTGTTCATTAAAATAGGTGGGAAACAATATGCTTTATTGCTTACATTATGAGAAAAGTTTGAGACAAATGGAAAACAAAGTGCTAAAATAATATTAAAATGATGTTTGGAGGATTTTTTGTAATAAAAAAGATTTTAAAAAAATATTATGCTATTTAAAAAAAAAAATGTCTGATCTCAATACATTTTTGATTTAAAATAAAACATAATATCCCCTGTAAAAAAATATTGTATATTGTTGGTTTAACTTAAAAAAGTTAGTAACCTGGTTGCCTTAAAATGTTAAGTTCATTAAAATGGAAAAAAGTGAGTTAATACAATGAAGGAGAATCTTTTAATCATCAGAAACTCAAAATTATATGTTATCTGAACTAAATAAATTATTTAAGTTGATTTGACAAAAGAAAGAATGTTGTGGTCACTGTAAAAAAATATTCTCAACATGTTTTCTTTTATCAAATCAACTTAAATAATTTATTTAGTTCAGATAACATATAATTTTGAGTTTCTGATCATTAACTCATTCTCCTTCATTGGTTGAACTCACTTTTTCCAATTCAATGAACTTAAAATTTGAAGGCAAAAAGTTAAACCAACAATATTTTTTTACAGTGATAGTGTCATAGTCTTGCGTTTGAGTTTTAATGGAGATTTGTGAATAAACTATTAACATTACCTATCAGAATAGCATTTTTTAATTTAAATTTCATTGACATTGACTGCTGCATTTCATAAGTAGACCTAAAAATTAAATTAATTACATAAATTATATATAATTTTGAGTCTTTTCCCCTAAAGAGTCATAATCTAATATATAAATATTTGAGTAATCATTTTGTATTTATAGGTGCTCAGCCCATGAGCATTTTAAAGATTATTGAGGGTCTCCAGTCGTCCCCAATGACCTACTCTACACCCCTGTACTCATTTTCCCTGTGCATGGAGATCACCAACCGTGTCTTCAACCCCTCCCTCCTCAACACATCCTCGCAGCAGTACAAGCGGATGTATACAGAGGTTTCTGGAGTTGTAAGTGTTTCCTGCGATTTGTCATTAAAGAGATGTCCCTATTTTACACACAACATTTTAATTTAAGTAACAACATGTGAATTGCTGTTGACCCTATAAGAGATCTGTAAACATGATTTTTCACAGTTGGACTTGGCCTTTAATTGCTCTGATTGTGACACAAGAGAAACTTACAGAGGGCTAACAAATATACAGTTCAGGTAAACCTCATTTGATTCTTTTTCTAAAGGTGTTTGTCACTTGGTCTTAAATGAACTGAGAATTTAAGTGCATGCTCTTGTGAAAAAGAAGAAGTACTTAAACTTTATATGCAGGAATATACACTTTCATAACTGTTTCTTAACATAATTGATACACTTGTAAAAACAGGCACTTTGTAATAATGTCGAATTAAAAAAAATGTATATATTATAAAGTATAGGCTACAGTTTAAATCATTTAGTAATCTTTTGTCATGCATTAAAGGCGTACACTCGTTTTGCTGTGTTGACTAACAAACTGATGTTATCATTTGAACTGTTATTTGAAATTACATTAATATTAAGTTAATATATTTTAAATGTACTAAATGTACCAAATTTCAAAGACAATTGGTATTTAAAGTAGGTTCCATGTAAATACAATTAAATTATAATTAAATGTAGCCTATCACTGTAAAAACAATCTTTTCATGATTAGTAATCACAACATTTTTTCTTTGGTCAAATCAACTTAAATAATTTATTTAGTTCAGATAACATGTAATTTTGAGTTTCTGATGATTAAAAGATTCTCCTTCAGTGTATGAACTCACTTTTTCCATTTCAATGAACTTAAAATTTTAAGGCAACCAGGTTACTTACTTTTTTAGGTTAAGCCAATATTTTTTACATTTGCTGTAATAATACATTTTATTTAATTGCAATTAACATTAAATATATTCTTTTAAAGAGATTATTATTTCGGTAAGAAATGCTATTTTTAAAAATATGCTAAAGTGTACTTCTTCGACACAAGGGACTGCATTATTACATTATTAATGTAATTATTAATGTTACTGCATTATTACAATCAATTTGGCAAAATGTTGTTTCTTGTTTGATTACAGGAACGAGCCTATGATCGCGAATTGTACCATTCAGTTTCAGACCCTTTTTATCAACCATGTTGTGATCAAATATTTGTTCCTGAGACTCCTAGATAGTAATACTCAACCAAATGGTCTTGCACTCAACAGACAGTACACTGCTGGTGAGTATTCTTCAGGGTCAGGCAAAGGTCAGAATTTATGAATTGGATCCATTTTGATTTATCATTCTCAAACTAAATTGATATATATATATATATATATATATATATATATATATATATATATATATATATATATATATATATTTATTTATTTATTTATTTATTTATTTATTTATTTATTTATTTATTATTATTATTATTATTTATTTCATTTTAAATGTAGAAACGGTCACACCTGCCTGGCTTTTTCCAAGATCCATAACTCCTATGGCTCCAGCATCTCCCTTTGCAGGAAGTGCTGCTCACTTTGCAGGAAGTGGTTATTATTGGCTTCCTGATTGGGCCATTGCATTGCTAGTGTTAGCATGTGTCATCATACTGCTTCTCCTCATCATCTTACTACTGGTAAAAGCGTAACACTTACACTTCGCTTTATACACTCACCTTCGTGACCATGAAGTGCCCTTAATTATTCAATGTGCACTTATAGTGTATTCCAGAATTTAAAAGTATTGTGAAGAAACTGTACTTGCTGATGATATATTTTGTTGGGAAAAAAAGAACACACTTTTACGCTTTAAAAAATGTACTTATCTAATGTTTTTAATGTTATATTAAAGCTTTAATGCAGGCTACAGCACATTAATTCAAATTAAAAATGATTTTATTAATATACACTTACTTTGATGTTTTGACTATAGCAGACAAAAGTTCATGTGAAGTCCTTGTTTTGAGTTAATATTTTAAATGTACTAAATTGCAACTTCGTCATAACAAATTTGTAATTATATGATGTCTATTACATTATATTACAATTTATAATACATGAAATATAATTTTCAATAGAAATTACATCAAAGTGAATTTTAATTGATCATAAATGCTAGTCAGTACATTCGGCAGTACACTTGAACCATATTTCAAAGATAATAGAAGCAATTATGAAATTTCATATAAAGAACTAAAGTGTGTAACTGCAAATTACCAAAACATTACATTCACTTTAGACTTAGACTATGATGTCTGTACTCTTACTTCACCTTAATAGGCTGATAACAGGAGAAAGGTGCTCATGTAGAATGATCTCGTCATTTCCATCTCTCCAGATATGCTGTTGGTCCTGTAGGAGAAAAGACAAAAAGGAAGAAACAACCAACATAATAGAACATGCACCTTATCAGAGGACATCCTTCAAAGAACATCTTGCCAATCCCACATATATGCCACACACACCCGAGGGAAGCCCAATCTACCCGGTCTTGGTAAGAAATAAATGTCATTTCTTATGGCTGAAATATAAGTTAAAAAATTCTATTGAGAAATTTGGTCACACCTCTATCCTAAAAAAACATTTAGTTAACATCAGCATAAGGCATTGTGATTCAGTCATGCATAAACCATCTTTTTATCTACGATTTGTGCAATTTGGAATTGTTCAGATCATCAGAACATTTGTGCTTATAACATACTCGTTCCAAACTTGGTAGAATATTCAATAACGTCACTGTTTCGATTTTATTCAATAAATGAAACGGCTGAATATTCAGAACACAGACAACTTGAATGTTAAGTCATTTCAACTTAAATTCTTAAATTACATTAAACTGACTTTAACAAGATGAGTCGAATCTTGTATAATATAAAAAAGTTGAAAATTGCTTAACTTATTTTGATGAGTTAAAGCAATTTAAAAAACATAATGTCGTATAATGTCTTATTGAACGTGTAATACGCTTATGATTCTATTATTATGATCTCTTCTAAGCGTCGTATCGTTTCTTCAACAGGGAGAACGGGAAGTACAACATGGCGGCCAAGCCGGGATGTATGCGATGAGCCCTCAGAGATGATAACCACAACACCACTATAAGAGAGGTAAAAAACAAACTTCTGCAAACAACATTATAGACATCCATAACTTGTGTAGCCTATTCAAGTTAATGAAAGTGATAAATCAAGTTATATCATATAGGCAATTTTCATTTGAAACAATAATACTAAAGTTCACATTTTCTCAAGCCGGTCTCAGAATCCGGAGTGACCTCACCCTTGGATGGAGGGAAATGCGTAGTTGTCGGGAGAGCAGATCTATTCATTATGAACAAAGAGACACTAGCAACACAATGCAGATTAAATACATAAACTTGGTTAGTTAACATGAGGTCAAACCCTCCATTCAATGAACTGTTTACCATTGTGACCATAATGCTTGCACAATGTGGTAACTCAAATATGGGCTTTATTGCTAGTAAATATATTTCATAAAGCTAGCATTGAATCAGGATTATACTATGTATGCCGTCCTTTTACATCCGATTAATATTTGCTGCAGTGTCAAATATTGAATGGCAATGATTTATAGCGATCGCTGGGAAAAGCACCATGCTGATCGCGGTAAACTGATGAGTGAAGTGAAAGTAATTGTTTGAGGTTACATAAATTATTTGAAATTATTTAGCTTTAATTAAAAATTGTCATAATAATGATTTTTATCCCTCAATGGGGTCGTGGTGAAAAGTAAATGAAATTATTTTTCTTATTTACGCCGGTGCGTCAACCAAAAGTCCAGGGAGTGGCTTAAGCTATTAAAACTCACCCTTATGTCATTTGCATTTCTTTATTTCACACAGTTACGAAAATACGTCAACAGCATGTTGAAACTGGTTCTGATGTAACATTGCTATTTATTAGAACACTGACAAGTTTATGAGAAACATTTCAGGATACACTAAATAATGTAAATAATGTGGTCTTTGTTTCAGAGCCATGAAATAACGGACTCTACGGAGGTTCAGGACGGTAAAGCGGTTTCTCTCATGCTGGTTTCTTCAAAACGATCCTAGAAATGTGGACTTGTCATCATTACCATGTTTAATATAAGTATTATACTCAACTTAAATGGAACTTTATTTATTGTCACAGAGAAAATGGGGATTTGGGTCTGTGAACTTTTGCTGCTCTCTCTCAGTATAATATATAATAATACCAGGGTTAGTTGTCACACTTTTTTATAAATAGCCTATTTTTTTACGGTTCGGTTAATTCTCGAGAAAGCAACTGCCTCCCTCCAAAAAATTAATTGAATAAATGTTGTTTCCTACAGTGGTGCATGTTGTCAAACTATGTAGTTTATTATTATTATTATTATTATTTTAGTTTATTTGAGAGAAATACATTTTTGAAAGATAAAAGACTATCCGAGTAAAAAAAAAATGTAAATGTAAACATATACATTTATATCGACAGGGGTTTTCAATCTGGGGCCTGGGGAACCACAGGGGGAATATAAGTGTAAAAAGTTAAAATAAATGAATAATATGTAAAAAATTAGATTCAAATAAGTAAATAAATAGGCCTACTATACAATTTTTCCAAATATAATTTTAGACCAATTTATGAAATTAATTTTTCAAAATATAAATTGGATCTAAAAAGATACCTTTTGAATTTTGGCACAAGGGTGATAGGGTCCTTGAAATCTGAATGTTTGAAACCCTCTCTGAATATTAACTGGTATGAAATATACTAAATCAGTAAAGGAATTAAACAAAATATTATATAAAGCAGTAATGGTGTAAAAGGTGACTCTAGTTTTGCCAACATGAATTGCAATCACATGTAAAACAACAATCACTTCCCTGTGTGACAACTTGCCCCGGTCTCTTTGATATCTTAGGCTACAGAAGAAGAGTAATGGTTAGCTTATATGTATCTCCAGATTACAAGGTTATCAATTCATAAACCTCCTTTCACTTGTAATTCATGTTCATGTTATTTGTATGGACATTTACACTTTCTCTGGTAATAATAATAATAATGCAAAATGACAGAAACTATATACATATATGAATAAATACAGCATACAGTACATGGTTTGTTGTTTCTGTTCTTTTGCAATGATCACACAGCTGTGAAATTCTAAATGGAACTTCTTCATGGTACTAGAACTTCTAGATTGATACTTCTTCTGGTTGATTACTGTGCAACACTTATAGAACGTTATTGAGATCAATAGTCTTAGAACACATGGAAAATATTCAATATCCAGTTTAAACGTAGAAATATCAAAGCTTTAGGATTTTAAACATAAATAGAACCATAAAAATGTTTAAGTTTTATAATCTTTGCCAATAATAAAAGGAAATGTGCATTGATCAGATGCATGATTCTCTTTGGATTCTTTTAAAAGTATAGTCCACTGTAAAAAATATTTTCAAGATTTGTTATCACAACATATTTTCTTTTGTCAAATCAACTTTATAATAATTTATTTAGTTGAGATAACTTATTATTTTGAGTTTCTGATGGTTAAATTAACCTCCATTGTATTAACTCACTTTTTCCAGTTCAATCAACTCAAAATTTTAAGGCAACCCAGGTTACTTACTTTTTTAAGTTAAACCAACAATATTTTTTTTAAAGTACAATACCCAAGTAACTCAACTTTGGCCTTAAGAAACTAGGCTGCATGCACAAAAGTTTATGTACCAGAGAGTTAGAACCATAACAGAATTCATAATCTTGCTTAATTTACAAAGTACTTCACCCCAGCTTGTAGCAAGGGCAATATCTCTTCAATTAGTGTCAGTTACTTTAGATGAAGAGTCTGTTCATTTGCTTAAAGTGGCATTGAGCTCTTAAGCAATTAAATTGTTCAACATAAGCTTAAATGTTAGAATTAGCAATTATTATGATAAAAAAGCAATACTCTAACTCTAATATACTCTCAAAAATCTAACTCTGATAAATACTCTAACTCTAAAATCAATGCTCAACATCCACATACCCTCAGATAGTAAGCACTGGTTGGTTTAGTGCACTTTGGTGTTCCTCATGAATCAATGTGGGTCCTGTACTCTTTAGCATTTACATTTTTCCAAATGGTCAACTCTTAAAGGGATACTCCACTTTTTTTGGAAATAGGCTCATTTTACCACTCTCCCAGAGTTGAACAGTTGAGTTTTACCATTTTCAAATCCATTTAGCTGATTTTCTGATATTTATATGAATATCAGTAAACAGGAAAAACATATACTATGGAAGTCAATGAGACCAGAAACTGTCTGGTTACTGATATTCTTCTAAATATCAGAAAATCGGCTGAATGGATTCGAAAACGGTAAAACTCAACTGTTTAACTCTGGGGGAGTGGTAAAATGAGCCTATTTCCAAAAAAAAAAGTGGAGTATCCCTTTAAGATCACTAAATTTTTATGCAGATGACACCCATTTCCATAACCAGCTAATAATAATAATAATAATAATAATAATAATAATGTGGCTATGGCCTTTCCTTCTCAATGTATTTCTGAGATTAAAAAAAAAGTCTCAATTTTCTTTTTTGTCTTGGCTCACCCTACCAGTTAGGTAAAGAGTCTTTAACCTTGAAAAAACATGCAGTTTTGGGGCTTTTAGTATGAATATATGTTAGCCTTGCTGTTATTTATAAGCAAGCGTGCTCCAATACAAGGCAAAATTCGCATTTACAAGATACAAGCCTTCAAAACTTACAGGGCCCTATCATACACTCAGCACTACGCAAGTGTTTTTATTGCTAGTTTCAGCCCGACACAGTTATCATTTTTACGTCCTGCGCCCTGTTGTTTAAATAGCAAATGCAATTGCGCCCATGGGTGTTCAGGGCAGGCGTATCGTTGGCATGTTGCTATTTTGAGGAAACTGAAATAAACATTTCCAACAAAAACCTGGACGAAAGTCAACGGCACAATATTATTATTTTTTTGTGTTATTTAAAGAGCGTGTTAGTAATGTGCGCCTACAGGCGGGCCCACAACGCACGTACAGTCTGCTTACACACACAGGGACGCCCAGCAGCACAAACACATGCCAAATATTATAAATAAAAGGATAAGAATGTAAAGGATTAATATTGTGTACAAAAAGATATGGTGGAATCCAGCTTGTCCCGTAGATGGTCTGTTTGTGTGCTTTAAAGGGATAGTTCACGTTGAAATTAATTTTTGGTATGTTTTAGCTTACCTCAAGGGCATCCAGGATGTAGGTGTCTTTGTTTCTGCAGTATTTTCAATTTTGATATTTTTAGGTCAAACCGTTCTTGTCTGTCAGTCATATAATGGAGGTCTATGGTCACCACCTGTGTCTATGGTCACCACTAATAAAGTGTAGATTTATTAAAGAAAATTGGATTGAAATAGTTAAGTTACAATACAAATACACACTTGTGTCAAAATGTATGCAGTTGTCCATAAGGTCACAAGGATTAATGTAAGATCAAATACACTAAATGTGCCGAGTAATCATCCCAATTCAGAAAATACAACTGCAATGCCAGACATCTCTGACAAAAAACTCAAAATCTCAATAGAATGTCAATAGTTGACTTAAAGTCAGAGGTGCTGCGCCTAATTCTATCTTTAGTAACAGTTTTGCGTCACAAGGGAATCAGAAAGTGTAAAGTCATTATTTGTGGATTATTAATCAACAAGGATTACCTTTAAGCAGCTATATTTATAAAGTCTATTTATAAAGAATGCATGTCTATGAATGTGTATTGAGTGTCCTTCAAATTTGTAGCCTATAAAAAAAAATGCACTACCATACAATTCATTATTAATGAATTAAAGGGCATTTAAGGACAGTACTTTAGGACATTAAATATGTACTTTAAAGGGATACTCCACCAAAAAATGAAAATTCTGTCATCATTTACTCACCCTCAAGTTGTTGCAAACCTGTATGGTTTTCTTTCTTCTGCTGAACACAAAGGAAGATATTTTGAAGAACGATGCTTAGTTGGGGACATTTAATATTCAACAATATTATTGATCTGCCTTACTTAAGGTGGACATTGACGCAATTTTCTTCTAGAAACAAACTTATTATTTTCCTGTTATCACTGTGAAGCTGCTTTGATGCAATCTGTATTATAAAAAGTGCTATATAAATAAAGGTGACAGATTTGACTAATAATATAATATAATGTAATAATGTATAATATAATATAATATAATTTAAAAATGTGAAACGAGAAACAAAATCACATTGTTGGTGCAAAAAAGTGGTTTAATAAGACCATTCAGCACCTAAAATACAAACACAATGAGAATGTGTTATTACAATGTCCTTTTACATTGACCAAATTCTTTGATCCCCATCTAGTGGAAACTGAAGTAATAGCAGCATGCTCAAGATCACAATTAAACAAAATGTGACAGAGTGAACAGACCAGAAACTATACAGATGTTGTGTAAAAGAGGTATGAAAGTAACTTTGGTTTGTCAGATCTGTAATAAACCGTATTTCGGATCATAATAACATCTAATTTCATAAGAGGAATTGAGATACTAGTGAGATTATAAAATTGACATTCTGTGGGTTTGGGTAGTGAGTAGCTTACAACAATTATTAGCTTTACTATTAAGCCTTTTGAAACAATAATAGCAATCAAACAACCAGCTAACACAGACTGTTCTCAGAACTTTGGCTAACGTTCTCTCAAAGTTATGATCAAATGTTCTTCCAGTAACAAAGTTATCTATAGTCTTTAATAACAATATCAAGAATATTTTTTTCATTTTTATAGGCTACATAATTTAGTAGCCTACTTACTACTTTTTAATTGCATACTGCCATAAGGTTCTTTTTGTACTGAAAATATCAAAATAAGATGCAATAATCTCAGATTGCTGGTGCATAGAATATATAAAATACATAATATATTTTATATATAATATATGCAGTGATATTTCTCTAACCAATACATTTATTTAAAAAAAAATTATTTGTTTTGAACAAGAACATTCAGAAATAACTTAATGGGAACGTTAGCAAAACATTTCTAGGACACATTTTGTTAGCTGAGCTGAGAAAAGGGCCTATCTCTATTCTATCTCTCTCCGTTTGATCAAGATGAGAACATGATCTCCATCTCCACATCCTGACCTGCACTGAAATGGATTTTGTACTAGCACCAATGACTTTACATTAGAAAGTATACATCATATCTACAGAGAACTCATCCCTACATTTGGAGAAAACATTGTTTTCTTTTATCAGAATAAAAGATCAAACCCAGCTTGGGTGTATATTATACTATTTTTCATTTTCTTGTGAGCATTTGAGTTCAAGAGATAAATGCCATCATTTCTTCCCTTGTAGCATAATGACATATTGGAACCTCTCATGTCGATTTCAGAAACCACTTAAATTAAAAAAAACAAACCTTGCTGCTAAAACCTCACTGATCACCAAAGCCCCTAGAATATACATACAGATCACATGAGCATGAAGTGTCAAACGTCTGCTAAGGAGTCAATGGGGGCCACTTGAGGTTCAGTAGGAGGGCTGGGGATTTCTTCTATTGGCTCAGTTTGAGGTTCAAGGACGTGCTCTGGCATCGGCTCCACCTCTGAGACAAACACCTGCACCTGTAAGGTTTGCATGGGATTGGGAAGAAACAGAAGTCTGATTGGTTGCCAGGTTCCAGAACTAAAAAAGGAGTAAGGCCCCTTCACACAAATTCCCTATTGTTAAAGAACAATTACTAAAACTCTAGCAAGCTCTAGTTATCCATTAGGTCCATTTCGAACCCAATGAAGGTATAATTCTAAATGAAATCTCAATGTGGTGTACCTGAGGTTGGCTAGGGGTGACCGCCGCCTCAGGCTGAGATGGAGCTGCATGCTGTCTAAAACCAGGAAACTGGGGGAAATACAGAGTTCGTCAATGTTTTATATTAACTTATCACAGAAAGGATTTGCTCAGACAATTTTGAAGAGCATATTGTAAATCACATTAAAGCTACACTGTGTAACTCTTTTAGCTAAAAACACTTAGTTCTTTCAAAAATATATGTGCTCATTAATGTATATTTACTTCGTTCAAGTAATAAAGTATTCTCGTGAGTGTATAATATGCCATTGAAAATACATACGGGTAAGCGGTCGCCATGTTGCCCCTCCATCTTGAAAGTACATTAGCCAAAGAGGGACATACCCGTTAATTCAAGCTTCGCCTTTCGCGTTTATGTTTCGGTTAACACTCATGGACGAGGTCGAACTGGAAGCCATGTTAATATTGGACTACTTTGGCCACCGTAGGAGTTAAAATGAAATCGAAATTGAGAGGAACAGAAACTAATATTCACTGGATGGTCATATACCTTTTCACCACTAGATGGGGGTAAAAATCACACAGTGTAGCTTTAATACCAAAAGTCGACGTAATTTACAATACTACTTGTTCACACACAAAAAATTATTTGTTCCAAACCAATAAGATTTTTGTTCATCTTCGAAACACAAATGGATCATTTTAATGAAATCTGAGGAATTGCTGTCCCTCCCACTGAAAGACTATTCACCAAAAACGGTAATTTAGGCTTTTGTTGACCAAATATACAGAGCATTCAAATATGGTGAACGGTACTTGTTTGATGCCTGAGAACAAACCTCATTGGTTCTTGTGAAACCTCAATCATGCTGAAGAATGAATCTCATTGGTTTTTAAACTTCTGTTTACCGAATTTGAGTGATCTATGTATTAGATCACAAAAAGACTAAATTAAAACTGTTCATCATATAAAGTGACTTGATTTAAACCGCTCATTTCATATGGGTATCTTTTTACTTTACGTTCTGTTTTGGAAAGACAGAAATCTCTCAGATTTCACTAAAATATCTTCATTTGTATTTCCAACATGTTGACAGAACTGAACCTTTAAACACAACAACATCTCCAAAGTCATCACATATCCTACTTTTGTGCTTATGTTTAACTGACCTTTACGCCAGCTTTAGCAAGAGCGCTGAGTCCAAACAAAATGGTCACAATGCAGATCACCAACTCCACCACAAGAAACAGAACCAAGGTGGCCAAGAAGCCGTCAATCAAGAGCTGACGGCACCCAAAAGAGACAGAAAAAACAAGACAGTGGTTATAAGCATCTGTCAATTTACCTAATAGTGCAAAATAGTTACAATAGCTGATGTGGTTGTCCACGTTTGGAAGTTGCCAAAGAGATCAACTCATAAAAAATGCAGACAAGAACACTAGTAAGGCATTGTAGTAATATAAAAATAAAAATTGGAGTTTTTAATAGCACATCTGCACATAATTGAAGGTATCTTTCATTCTGAAGCGTTTTCAGTCAACTGTCCCAAAGTGCAAAACTGCCAAAATGACCCACACCGCATGCATTCACTCTCCTAACACAAATATACACAAAGCTACTGATCATTTTTTGATAAAACAAGCAGATCCTTAAAGGGTGAATTGAGCTCATGTTAGAGTGGCTTAATGTACCAATGTAACATTTTGAATGTCTGCAAAATGTTTGTCACCTTAAAAACAACAACTTTTAATTTTTTTTCTTTCTCTCTCGCATTATCAGCAATTATTTAAGCACATTCATGTACACAAAGAAAAACATTAAGGTAAGAATTACTTACTTTACATTTTCCCTCGACAGTATAAGTGCACCTCTTGTAACAATTTTGTTGCTTTGGAAAAGCAGACACAAAAAACATAATCATGTTGAATTTTGCCAAAGACCTGGCTCACTTATTGACAAATAACTATCAATCTATTATTCTTATACAAATGTTGCTGCAAGCAACCCCAATTGGTCAATTTAGAAAAACTGTTACAGTTTTTTTGGCTTCCTTGACAAACTACAGTGCCCTCAGAAAGGTTTTGGACATCTGAGATTGGAACAAATCCCATTAACAAACACAGACTTAATTGGACAGCTACTATAAAAAGATGTTTCTTTTGAAAAACTATTCACTTCTTTTCAGTTATTACACTTTATATAAACATAGACATAGCCACAAAGTCAAATGTACAGTATCACCCCACCAGCCAAAATAAATAAATAAATAAATACAATTAAAATAAACACACACACACAAAATTATATTCTAATATCCCCATTTTTCTTGGATTTATGGCCATTGTGCTCACTTTTTGCATGTTTCATATCAGATCTACAATATTTGGTGTCCAAATACCTTGAAAGGGCACTGTTTTTTATGAATTTCTCCAGCATCAGAAAAAGTCTGTACCAAGTGCAAAGGATCAATATCCATGACTCTATTCTGTTATAAATATAAAAGACAAAATATAAATTACAAAGCAGAACAAATGAATAGGAGCGATGTAAACATATTTGGTTACATCTGATGTTAGCAATTCATATCTTGGTAACACTTTACAATAAGGTTCATTAGTTAACTACATTAGTTAACATTAACTAAGAATGAACAATATTTCTACAGCTTTTGTTAATCTTTGTTAATGTTAATTTCAACATTTATTAATACTTTATTAAAATCTTGTTAACATTAGTTAATGCACTGTGAACTAACACGAACAAACAATGAACAGCTGGATTTGTATTAACTAACATTAACACAGATTTATAAAAAAAACAGTAACAAATGTATTGCTCATGGTTAGTTCATGTTAGTTAATACATTAACTAATGTTTAATTAATGAACCTTATTGTAAAGTGTTACCCATATCTTTCTATATTTCTCAACAATTGATAAACCACTTAATATTCTATTAATTGTTTTCCTATTCAAAGCAATTTAATAAAGTATGTTGTGTAAACCCACATCAAAAAATATGTCACTCACTACCCCAAATAACTTTATATTTAATTCAGAAACTTTATATTAATTTCAACAACATAATCCTTCACTTCATCAAGCATGTATATGGTAAAAAAAAAACAAAGATTCCAATTTTGAAAGGACTTCTTTTTAACATTTTCTTATTTCATGTTGTTTAACTGCACTGCGCATTATTAAAAAAAAATCTTCAACCATCTGAACCACTTGGCCTTTTGACAGACAGACAGAACATCATTATGCTTTTTTATTGAAAGTCTATGTTTTGCACTTCGGTACAGTCCTTTGAAAAGGCATCAAGGAAATTTCTTACAGAAAAAACTGTAACAAGAAAGTTGATGTGGCCAGTTCAACACATCGTACCCACTTTACAGTGTTCCATCCATCCCACTGCACCCAAAACACACCCACATGAGTTCATCGTTAATGTAATGTATGCATACATCCAGAGATCTATATCTGCAGGTCTATGTATCAGTGCAGTAAGAGAGTAGCTCACCACAGAATAGATCTCCAGTCTCCTGCAGTGCTCACAGTGGTAAGTGTCCTGACGGTAAGGCAGGTGACGGGACAGCAGCCCGAGAACCGCAGTGGAAAACGCTGCGCTGACCAGGTGAGCAACCAGGGTGGCTTTCACCTTCACACGATGGGGGGACAGAAGTTACTGTACAACATGATTCGTCAAAACATTGAAAAGGTGAAAAAAAAAAGACCAAGAAAAGACTGAAATAAAATGCCGTCAAAACTTTCTTTATTAGGATTATTTTCCACATTTGAATAGTCATCAGATCAAACTATGAATGGAAGTATGTGAATTATAGGGACCAAAACAGATCAAAACTTGCTTGTATTCGAGCTTCTTTTTGTAGCTTGCTTGAAATCTTTGAGGTTAGCGGCCTATCCTTTTCTATCAGCTCCAAAAAACAACTTAAAGGAGAACTCCGGCGCAAAATGAACCTTTGGTCTAATTACACATTAGTCAACCGTTATCTGAGATTTGTTTTCATGATTGCTGAATGTAAATATAGTTTACATCCATGCAGTTTAATAAGAAGATGCATACAGTCAACTTCGCGAATACAGGAAGAAGCCATCTTTGAAAAATAGTCTCTACCAGTCGATTTACGAACGCCGATCCAAGTGTGCTGAACTGTGCAGAATCTCATATGGTCCGTTGTTTCCGGAAGAAACACAAACACGAACCATTTTCTTCTCTTCAATATGTACATGTAGGCTACTGTTCGTGCTCACCTTATCACCTTATTCACATCTCACCAGCGCACTTGGATCGGCGTTCGTAGATCGACTGGTAGAGACTATTTTTCAAAGATGGCTTCTTCCTGTACTCGCGAAGTTGACTGTATGTATAAAATACATTCTTATTAAACTGTATGGACACTGACAAAGTTTGCAATGCTTCGGTTTGAATGTAGGGACTTATTATTCTACAGTGTTCCTGTGGAGCTATTTTGAGCCTTGTTAGTGGTAATAACAAGCGATTTTTAACAAAACATGCCTATTTGCTTTTCCTAAATCGCCCAATCACAGACAAAAAAATATATATATAAATTGGTAGCTTCAACAAGCGCTCAGTGTAAAAGTAGCTCAATTCCACAGGAAAACCCCAGACTTGACAACACTGTCCTAAACAGGCACAATTTCTCTAATTTCAGTCATTTGAACAGTAGCATTCACTATCTGCTCAAAACAAAACAATCCAAATTATTATTATTATTTTTTTTTTTTACAAAACTAATAACAATCATTTGTGTATGAGCGTTAATAAAATGAAGAGGGAAAAAAACGAGTTGTACTCACCCAAAACAGTGATGGAAACCTTCCAGTATGGATTAAAATGGACCCAGACAAGAGCAACTGATAAAAACAGGTTAAAAAATGATTGTTTGCTACATACATGGCAACAATTTGATTCAATAGATTAAACCCCGTTTTAAAACAAATGAAATAAACATTACATTCAGCTTACCTGAGCAACAATCACAACCACAACGATGACATCAGGAGAGAAGTGGACCTCTTCATAGAGCTGAAGAATGGTGACGCTCAGACACAAGCACAAGACACCAATAATGATCTGAATGGACTGAAACAACACAACAAGATAAACTAGGTAGCCTATGTTTCCAAAAAGGCCATTAGATTTAATTCAGTTTTTCATATTGTAAAAAAATGTGCAAGAAAGTGTCTCATTTGAAATAACTGGTATAAAAAGATACTCCTGTGCACTTTTTCCTGCATTCAGCATCAGATTTGTTGCGGTGTTGAATGTGAAACTCACCCCCAGTGCCTTCGGCTCCACGTTCTGAAAAGCCTTGACCTGCTTTGGCGTCAGAATTCCTGCAGGGGGCGTGGGACCCTCACTGTCAATGCCCATGCTGATGTCAGACAGTTTGAGATGTGGCTACGCTAAGATCAAGAAATACACTTTGAGATCTCTTGATTTAGATGGAGGAACCTAAAGTCAATGGGGAAACAGACGGAAATGAGAACGAAGACAGATGGAGGCAGCGCAGGACAGGGGTGATATGGATGACGGAGTATTTAACCCGAAAAAGGTTGCGCTCATGGTGCTCTTTGTGCCTGAAATCATATCTTTTCTCAGGCCCAAAGATCCACCAGAGGAATGCAATAATCAGATTAGAACAATTTCAATTGACCATTCTTAAACTCACCCACAATCGCAAAAAAATGTGTTGATTTATTGATAAATTGAATAAATTACTTCAATTTATTGAATTAAAATGGTTGACTTCATGACATCTTGTAGAGAGACACCATTGGAGCATTTGAGATGCAACACAAGACAAGACGATTCTATTTTAAACATTCAAAATGATCCACGAGATAAAACATAAAAAGAAACTAATCTGACATGGAGACAGTATTTTGTGCAAAACCCCAAACAATATATACATCATCTGAACCCTCATAACTGTGGAGAGCATAGACACCCGTCCCTTTCAAAAAAACCCTCTGAGGAACAAGATTGAACACACAAGTTCCTACAAAAACTCCGGATTGTGGTTCTTCCATTACCCCATCATGGTGACCCCATGTGGCATCTTATACCTCAAATCCTCTCCTCTATGACACACTATTTTTAAGGTTTCATTTTGTCATTTAATCTGAATATCAACCTAAGTGAAATTTAAACAGTTTTGAGGTTAATTTATCAAATTTGGTGAATTTTTGGGGATATATGACGGCAGTGACATATATTTTTGTGTCTATTAAGGAGTTATTTGTGAACACACGGTTTTGACGACACAAGATGGTTTTTATACTGCCAAGGGCGAAGCTCGCGTGGTGAGCTGAAACCTGCGTACGTCACGAAGTGCAGAACATCCAATAGAAAAATTCAACTGCAGTAGCCACCGTTCAACCTGAAGAGGGCAGCACTTTACACACAAATGTCAAAAAAGTTACTCGAATCAATCCATTCTTGCAGATCATTAACTAAAAAAAGTTGGTTTAGTGTTTAGTTACTCTTTAAACAGTTTTGAGGTTAATTTATCAAATTTGGTTAAACTATTTGGTGATATGTGACAGCAGCGACATATATTTTTGTCTATTAAGGAGTTATTTGTGGACACATTCAATTTTTAGACTTTTATTTTGAAGTAAAACGCTCAAATTAGACCTTTGGGGTAAGATGACCTCCCACCCACCTAACAATTTTTAAATATAATAATTAATTAATTATTCAGAATTTACATAGTACATTTCAGGGCAGGCACCTTTGCTTTCATTAAAACCAACAGGTCAGTGAAGCGAAATCATTCGGGCTACTGTGACATATCTTCAGTTAAAATATGGATAATTAAATGTAAATCAAATTAAATGCCTGAATAGAAGTCATACAATAATTTTGCCCTCCAGATGAATCTATTTTACTGGTATTCTCCTTTGTCATCAGTTGTTCAAATATTATCAAAATAAAAATAAATAGCTAGGCTACAATCATTTTAGTTTTTTTTTTTTTTTTTTTACATTAATGACACGTTCTTGGGGTTTGTTTGTTTAAATATTTATGATGCGGAGAGACAAATAGAGATTTCATTTTAAACATTTACAAACAAAGTGCACATCTACAAATTACATATGCGAACGTGTGCATCATATAACCATCAGCTAAGCATCGTATTTCTCATTTTCAAGTGATGATGTATATTTTAAGGGGTTTCTTGGCCTCGGAGGCCAGAGGAGCATCCAAAAATAGACAGGGCAAAACGTGCAGCTTCATCACTCTCCTCATCCTCCGCAGTGCCCCGCACTATGACAGAACATGCAACTTCATTACGAGCATAATAACACCCGAGTTATGAATAACGCCAGACTCAATGCGACTCACCAGTGCTTTATTCTGGTTTCCAAATCCTAAACGCGTGTAACCTTCAGCGCTGTCATAGGTGGGGCCACACACCGTCCCAAATCGAGATTAGTTAAAACACGTGCGTAATGATGTCACTTACCTCTGCAGCTCAAGTAAAACGCGTTGCTTTGTGGTTCGTTTTCTCTTTAAAGGCTTAAAGTGCAGCATTCAGTGCTTCCATCCGCGACGTGGTTGAAGGGAAACAGTTAATTGTAAGGGTGTGAGACACACGGCTTACGTGCAGTACCGCAGTGAGGAGGAGGCTCAGGCTGGTGCTCTGCATTTCTATGGATGGAGACAGACTCAAAGTGATGCGACGCAATGGCAACTTCCAGAAAACTCGCGACACAGAACAGAGGTTTATTGCTTTTTTTTCCCTACTCACCAATACAGTGCTGTAATGTAGTTAGTAGATTAATTATTTCTTTTTTTCATCAATGTTTCATTAATTTTTGTTAGTTTAATCACATTTTTTTTAAATGTATCTTTCTTTTAAAAGGTATAGTTCTATGGCAAGCCGTTTTAGCTTAAATTGTATCCAACCTTACTCGTCATTATTGCATTTTTACCAGTAAGAATTCAATTAGAGAGCTTTACAATTTAATTCCTACTAGTAGCAATTACAATTATAGAGCTCTCTAAATAAATTCGTACTAATAACAATTATAATTAGAGAGCTCTCTAATTCAGTTTTTACTCATATACAGAGCTCTTTAATTCAGTTACAGAGCTCTGCAATTATACATATCTTTAATTCGTTTTTTTACTAGTAAAAATTAAATTAGAGAGCTCTGAAATTGCATTCTTACTAGTAAAAACTGAATTAGAGAGCTCTCTAATTATAATTGTTACTAGTCATAATTGAATTAGAGAGCTCCAATTGTAATTCTTACTAGTAATAATTGAATTAGAGAGCTCTCTAATTAAAAATGAATGAAAGTCAATGGAGCCATATGACTAGTAAAAATTCCTTTGTAGAGCTCTCTAATTGCAATTGTTACTAGTAAGAATTTAATTTTAGAGCTCTCTAATTTAATTGTTACTAGTAAAAATGCAATTACGACGAGTAAGGCTGGGTACAATTTAAGCTAAAACGGCTTGCCATAAGTGAAATAAGTCAAAAATGACAATTGTGTCATCACTCACCCTCAAGTTGTTCCAAATCTTTTTTTCTTCTGAATCTGTTGGAAGATATGTAGCCCTCAATCGGGTCATGGGGTCTATACGACCCCAATCGACTTTTACTTAAAAAAAGGGTTCCCTTCATGTCAGTGGAATAAGATTTTGTGACTTTTTATACATTATCTATCTATAACACACACAAAAACTGGGCTTGATTCGGTTGTTCTGAAGGTATGTAAAAAAAAAAAAATGTTTACACTTTTGGTCTTCGGGGTCAATAGCAAATTAGACAGCAAATATGACCCCACACTGAAATGAATGGGAAATGTGAAAAAAAACAAAACAAAAAAAAAAAACCCCTAAATATATTTTCTTCACGTGTCAAAAAAAAAAAAAATCCGGCATAAATCTGAAATTTTTACACAGAAATGAAGGCCTAGTACTAGATCATAAATGCAATGTATCATAAAAAATTATATTTCATATGCAAGCTAATGGTGTAGTTGAGGAATTGTGTGGTATATGGATACAAAAGTACTTTATATCTCCAAAAACACAGCATTAATGAATAGATGAGAAGTAAAGAAAAAAATATTACTTGCATGATTAAAAATGTATATTTTTTGTACAATTACTCAACCAATTGTTGGGGTCGTATAGACCCCGAAACCCAGAACTGTAAGCAAGAAACGAAAGGTCTACTGTATGGCAAATGTGATATTGCTTTTATAACGGCAGTTAAAGTTTAATAAACAAAATTTATTAACTTATGTTTCAGGCAAAATGATCAGTTTATTTCTTTCCCACCAAGTCTAGTTATAATCTACAATGCCCAGAATGGAATTTCACTGCTAAAAACTAACATGTTAGTGCATAATGTTGGTTCTCATAAAAAGTCAATTCTTTAAAAATCAGTCACAGTGCATTTACATTAGAAATATGGAAAGCGGCTTGAAATATCACGTTGAAGAGCACGACTTCACTTTTTGTCTTCTGATGCCACCTAGTTGCCATAAAATCATTTTTAAAGGAAAGCTGTAGTAAACACTTAAAATCAATATCTTTTATTTTCAAATCAGCCTGCTTTTGTAGGCTATAAAAAAATAAACAGAATCTTTCAATAACAGTGGCATGCAGGGGAATGCATATAGTCCCGTGACAGACTTCACATTTTGGGCTTCGATTGGGACTCGGTTATCCAGCTAAAGACAAACAGAAAATGAAATTGTTCTTTGAACTACTAGAAAGAACATGTTCTCATTCTCTGATTGTAAAACACAGATTTGGCAATATCACAATTTACAAGGGATGTCCCCAGAATGAAGACTTCAAATTCGTACCATTCAGTGACAAATCACAGGCTGGGAAAGAAAACAGCAAACAAAAGATTGGTTTAGAAGTAGCAATCAGGCCCAATGTACCGTACTGATGTGCAAAGGCAAAACACAGCCAATTTAAAAGAATAATAATAATCATAATTAAGACCAAAATCAGGTTTTCATCAGGAATTCAGTTTGCCTCAACTATGCTCTGTTCCAGTGTTGACATTGGGTTATAGTGAAGTGGTCAATAATGAACGAGGTACTGACGTAACACTTTTGAGTTAATCTTACGTTGAAATATAAACTACCCGTACTTACACATGACTGATCAGCACAACTTTGTATGCATTACACAAAATACTTAAAAATAAACCACTTGAAAAGCATCTTTGAAAGCTTCATTTTTGCATTGGTGCAAAGTTAAAGGTATAGTCCATCCATAAATGAAAATTCTGTCAGCATTTACAAACCCTCGTGTCGTTTCAACCTTTTTGACTTTCTTTGTTCTGTGGAGCTTTAAAGATATTTTGAAGAAAGTCGGTAGCCAAACAGTTCCGGTTCCCATTGACTTCCATTATAAATAAGTGAAAGTCAAAGAAGTAAAACTCAACATTCTTCAAAGTAACTACTTTTGTGTTTCATAGAAAGTCATAAAGGTTTAGAAAGAGAGGAGGATAAGTAAATTATGACATACATGTCTTTTTTGGATGTCCCTTTAAAACTATAAAAAAGAAAACATACCTCGTTGTGACATTTAAAATGTGAAATCAGACAAGAATAAGGAACAAAGGCAAAGACCAAAAAAGATGTGCGATATACAGTGATGTGAATAAGTTTGGACACCCGTGCTAAAGTTGCCTAAAAAGAGGAATAAAAAATCATCTTTTGGACATTGATCTTAATGCCTTAATTAGAAAAATGAGGAAAACTCCAACCTTTAAGGACACCAATTTTCTTTGTGAATGAATAATGTATCATAAATAAATAAATGTTTTTCCTTAAAATACAGGGTGCATAAGTCAGGACACCCCTATGTTAAATTCCCATAGAGTCAGGCAGATTTTTATTTTTAAAAGCCAGTTATTTCATGGATCCAGGATAATATGCATCCTGATAAAGTTCCCTTAAAATATCCCCACATCATCACACACCATTCACCACACCTAGAGATTGGCATGGGGTACTAACTGAAGTAAAACCATGCCAATCTCTAGGCATGGTGAATGGTGTGTGATGATGTGGGTCTTTATCAGGATGTATATTATCCTGGATCCATGAAATAACTGGCTTTTAAAAATAAAAAATCTGCCTGACTCTATGGGAATTTAACATAGGGGTGTCCTGACTTATGCACCCTGTATTTTAAGGTAAAACATTTATTTATTTATGATACATTATTCATTCACAAAGAAAATTGGTGTCCTTAAAAGGTTTGATTTTTCCTATTTTTTTTAATGAAGGCATTACGATACATATCCAAAAGATGATTTTTTATTCCTCTTTTTAGGCAACTTTAGCACGGGTGTCCAAACTTATTCACATCACTGTAGAACAAAGGAGATAGTTTGAATGGAAAATATGAAAGTTCAAAAAGTTGTTTTTGAATTAAACATTTAGAAGCCTCTCTTTAGTAATTAAAATTAAGGTCCATTAAATTTTTCATTTTAACCGAGCTGAATTAACTTTCTAATCTCAATTAAAAAGGTTGAAGAGATCAATGAAAATCTAAAACAGTCCATCTATTTATTTCACTTACGTTTGCCCGAATGTGATTTAAGAGAGGAATAAAATCGGATACACTTTCGACTGAAAAAAACAGTTGTCACATAAATTACAGCTTAAATATTAACGAACTTAAAACGCACTAGTACCCTAAAGTTTGAGTCTTACAGTTCCAAAAAGTTTGTAAGAGGATCATTGTGCCTTTTTTTTTTTTTACCAAATCCTGCACAAGTGGTTCAGCGAAAGGGCTTGATACAGCAGAAGCCCAGTTTGGCTCAGAAAAGAGGTTTACCATCACAGTGCCCGCCCGCCCGCCCTCAGATGGGTGTGTTGGGTAGGTGACCGTTGGAGGCGTTCAGCATACTGTTGCTCAGCGTGATGGGAGATTTGCCATTATGCGCCTGTCCGTTAGGAGCTTGTCCGTTGCGCTTTTCCAAACGTGGCGAGTGCCCTCTGAGAGACTCTCTCTCCTGGGGCGTCGCGCTTCCTCCCTTTTCGGCGTCCCTGCGAGGAGTCTGTGGGACCGTCCTGCTGTGACAGAGATGCCTGAACCTGTTAAACGCGATGGTTAGCAAGGCACTGACGCACAGAGCTAACAGAACGGACACCACCACTAGCTCCTGAAAGTAGGTGGGTCTGTCCACGTGCTGGAGGTTTCCGCCAGCCTCAATCATTCGCGAGTTTTCCTCGTTCGTCCTGGACACGCGGGTGAAATTTCTACTTTCTACTTTCTCCAGCAAATCTTTGTGTGCGACAGTAGGATCCACATCTTCCGGTTTAGGCCTCGGCTCCGTCTGCTTGGGTGTCGTGGACATGGGGGTTTTGACGGCCGTTTCGGCAGGCGGGGTGCTCTGCGGGCGGCTCGGGGAAACTGCTAGGGTGGTGGGGTTGCTCTTCTGTTTAACATGGTAGACGGTCAGCGTTTGGGTGTAGCCGTTCTCCACAGCCTGACACAGGTAGTGTCCCAGGGTGGACGGGGTCGCCACAAAGCTGAGGCTGCCGCTGTCTGGCTGAATGTAGATTTTGGGCGAGAGTTGGCTGTTGAGACGCTCCCAGTGGCGTTTGGCGAGGTGTGACGCTTCCGGGCACTGCAGGTGCACTACCTCGTTTAGACACACAGACACCACTTCACCTGGAAAGCACGCAGGGGTCAAGGGTCAGCATACACACGAAACCACGATCGCATTTTACAGTACTCTGTGTGGTACTTTTACACGAGTAGGAACAAAACAGGGTAGGGCTGTCAGACGATTAATCGCATACAAAATAAAAGTTTGCGTTTACATAATATATGTGTGTGCACTGTGTATAATTATTTTGTGTATATATATATATATTAGAGCCAGACCGATGAAGGATTTTGAAGGCCGATACCGATACAAATATTTGTTGGTTTTAAAATCCGATATTGCCGATATGCCGATATTATTATTATTTTTATTTCAGAAACGCGCAACAAAATTAACAGATTTCCCTAACATTAGTTATTTATTTGTGAGTTTTAATTAAAATAATATGATAACGCATTTTAAAAAGAAACTTGTTTCTATTGTCACAACATCAAAATATATTAAAGTTCTGATAAATAAAATAATAATTAGTCCCTACATTGCCTTATAGTTATAAGCTACCTTATAATTACAATGTCAGCTTGCTTATCCCTTTACCTGTACTTTTTAACAACACTCATGACATGTTTGAAGCGTGATTCCTCCGTTTTTATTTTATTTTTTAAATATTCATTTATCGGCCCTTATAACTGCCGATACCAATATTTTAGAAAATGCCTAATATCGGCCGATATATCGGTCTGGCTCTAATATATATATATATATATATATATATATACTAATATATATATATATATATATATATATATACATAAAAGTTTGCGTTTACATAATATATGCGGGTGCACTGTGTGTGTAATTATTTTGTGTGTATATATATATATATATATATATATATATATATACACACACACACACACACACACACACACACACATGCATGTATATTTAAGAAAAAATATATAATTTATATATAAAATATTTATATTTATATATAATATAAATTATATATAAATCTATATGCAGTATATACATGAAATTATTTCTTAAATATATACAAGCATGTGTGTGTATTTATATATATATATATATATATATATATATATACACAGTATATATATACACACAAAATAATTACACACACAGTGCACCCGCATATATTATGTAAACACAAACTTTTATTTTGGATGAGATTAATCGCGATTAATCGTTTGACAGCCCTAAAACGGGGCTTGAAAAGAAGGTGCATAATCTTCAGAAAAAGTTTAATGTCAAAAGGTCACATTAAATATTCAAATAAATATCTATAATATAATTAAATTTTCGATTTGCTTTATATTTAACTTTACGTTTTTGCAACCCTGTTAGCTACATGTGGTACATGATTAAATTGTAATAGAGTGTATTTTTTAGAATTTATAATACAAAAACACAAATTAAAATTCAATTTAAACGCATTTACATTTAAATTTAAAACAAAAGGTTACACATTTATTTAAGATTATGTTATGCTAAATTATTAACAAATACTGTATTAACAATTTGTGAGAAAATGAAGGGCATGTATTGGAATAGCTTTGATGCCAAATGATGTTACTTCCTGGATGTCACATATTTACGATTTTTTTTTTCTTAACAGAGGAAAAATCATGTGGTAACAGGGTTATAACAGCGTTGTATGTAAAATGCGTAACAGCTAAATATTACGTATTAAGTTTTTTCCCCTTAAAAGAATTAAATATTTCAATATTGTTGTTAATTTTTGAATGCATACATTTCATGGAAAATGGCATAAATAGTAAATAATACACTCCAAGATCTAAGTAAAAATGAGACAAACAAGAATATTTCAGGGACTTCAGTTGAGTTACCCAAGTACAACATTTGCAAGTCGCGACTGCAATAAATAAAATTGAGATTCAATTATGAGTAAATGAATGGTACACATTTAAAAAGGATACCATTTGTGACTCTCCAGCATTTATACACTGATATCTAAACATTATAAAGATGTACACTCACTTGAAGGGGTTCGGGGCTGGCCAGAGCCTGACCTGGGGGTCACATTTTTACACTGCTCTGACACATTACCCTCATCTATATCCTGGACACTGTGAAAAATAGTGAAAGGAGAGATTAAAAACAAAGGACAGGGGTATGCTGAAGTAATTCAATCAATGGGATTGCTGAAATCTGCAATAAAAGCACATTAAACCAACCGTATATTTAATTAGGGAGTATTTGTAAGGTTTGAATACAATGATACTTAGTATTTTTCATCTTGTTATGAATTGAAATTAGATTGTATGTTTGTACGTGTGTTTATGCATATATGTGTGTATATGAAATGTGTACATGATAACTGTGATGATTGAAATGTTGTTGTTTAGGATTTTTTTCATTTTAAATTTTTTTATTTTTAGGATTTCATTTTTAGCCCAGGAAAACTAGCTGACTGTACAGACTTTCAGCTAATGGGATCCTTAAAAATAAAAATAAAATAAAAATACTTACAGACTGTCATGACTAGTTATGTCTGAGCAGACTTTCATCACAGGGTCCCAGCCACAGAAGGGGTCTCTTGCTAGAACACACTCAGCACAGCTCCAGTAGTAAGAACAGTTGGACACGGGTACGGACACCACTCCTTCTGAAGAGCCTATCAGCACTGCACCCTGGGGAAGACACACCAATAGATTTTTATTTAGTAAATTTGCATTTCCATGATTAAATAAATACTATGAAAGAATGAAGCTGTGACTACGCACACTTTTGACATTTCCTTTTTATTCGCCGATACCGGCTGGAGATAGCCTGGTTAAAACCAGACCATTCTCAGCTGTGACTGAGTTATGGGCAGGCAAAGCATCATAGACTAATCATTTCCAGATGGGCGTCACCAACGGACATCGCGGATAGACCTAAAACCAATCAGAGCGGTGAAGGAGATGACGTACGCAGAGCGGCGGAGTGTTGTTCTTTGCTCGGTTTTTAACAAAAAGGAAACGTTCGAATAGCTTAAAACAGAAGTGAGTGATGTTCGACGGCGTCCATCTTTGTAATGTAGGCTACAAAATCCCAGCACTGTCGTCATTGTATAAAACCCGCCCCAACGTTTCTAATTGGTTCCTCGATTTTCGACAGATTGTACGAGTTCTTTGAGCAAATCTAAATTTGCCGGAAGTTGTCAGGCTTTCCAGCTGGATATTTAAACCAAAAGTTAACAGTAGCACAACAGGGCTACTAACCAAGGAATCTGATTTAATGGCTCAAAGAGTGTGATATCGTGCATGTAGGGACTTTTATAGCGTCAGAGGATACCACAAGCACAGATGTCTGTTCCTGGAGAAAAGCTTAGAAATGACACTTGAAGTGATGGGTACCTTGGAGACTGAAAGCAGGATGTTTTTGACCAGCTGCGGTTGATGAAACACTTGGATCTCTTCAATGATGTGAGCTCCGCTCTCCAAGATTACTGCTTTGTGCAGGTAGCCGGACTCTACAGGGAACACAGTTAAAGTGATATTAAGATCATTTTAAAATGACTCAAAGGGGGAAAGCAGTTATAAGAAACAGTAATAGTCACAAAAAAAAGAAAGAAAACTATATATGCATTTCTGTCTGTGAAAATGTGTTTATTAGAGCCGGCAGGCCGATATTATCGGCCGATATTAGGCATTTTCTAAAATATCGGTATCGGCAGCTATAATGGCCGATAAATGAATATTTCAAAAATAAAATAAAAACGGACGAATCACGCTTCAACAATGTCATGAGTGTTGTCAAAAAGTGCAGGTAAAAGGATAAGCAAGCTGACATAATTATAAGGTAGCTTATAACTGTAAGGCAATGTAGGGACTAATTATTATTTTATTTATCAGAACTTTAATATATTTTGATGTTCCTCTATTCTGTTGTGACAATAGAAACAAGTTCCTTTCTAAAATGCATTATCATATTATTTTAGTTAAAACTCATAAATAACTACAACTAATGTTAGGGAAATCTGTTAATATTTTGTTGCGCGTTTCTGAAATAAGAATAATATCGGCCGATATATCGGAATATCGGATTTAAAAACCAACAAATATTTGTATCGGTATCGGCCTTCAAAATCCTTTATCGGTCGGGCTCTAGTGTTGATCTACACTCTACAGTCTAATACGACAATCCAACCAATGCATTGAATTTTTTTTAGGAGTATTGGAACACTCATACTACAACTATCATTAGTTCTTTTTACTCTCATTAAAATAGCTTATTTTATTCTTGTCATGGAATTTGGGAATATAATTTTTTCTATATGGAATAATATCTCCAAAACGCCATTTTTTAAAATATTTATATACTGTTATAGCATTTATTAATATTTTTAATTAGCTTTTACTTTTATATTTCCAGTTTTCATTTTAATTTTAGTCATTTTTAATTTTAGAAAAGAAATTAAAGGCTGCTTCAGCTTTATTTATCTTAATCCTTTTTTAAAAAAAAAACATTGCATTATGATACTTACAATAATTTAAGCAATCAATAAAACTACTGACAAAGAAAAACATCTCCACTATCGGTGATTTTTGAAGGCACTGATATTGACCAGATTCAGATTATTTTTATTTCATGCCATGTCAGCAGTCAAAGCTATTTTCATGGCAAGAATTCATTTAAAAAAAAATACAAATATCATATAGATACAACAAAAACAAAACAAATATAAACAAGTAGTCATATTATACAATATATATTTTTTAAATTAACATATGATAAAAAATCCAGAACCTTTTCATCTCATTAAATATGTCCTTCAAATAAGTAACTTCATAAAAGAGCATTCTACTTGTGTTACAATCTAATAAAAAATGTTTGACAGATAAGGGAATTTTACAAAACATACATAAAGTTGGGTCTTCACCTTTAAGCAAAAAAGCATGGGTCAAACTTGTATGACCCATACGGCATCTAGTGTAGACTACTTGATCAAATCTAGTTTTAAAATTGATAGAAAGTCTATTTGTTATTTCCGGACTTATTACTGCACATATTCCTGATATTGACCAATATTTACCCGTGAGCAAGTAGAGCACAGTGTAATCTCTGCCGCGTGCCCCACGCACTCTCTGAGCCGCGATGTTGCTGTAGCTCTTATCAGGTGACACCATTGTAAGGCCCTGATTGACCGGTGCAACACTTTTATCAGCCAGGAAGTTGTCCTTAACAAAGCGTAGAGTGTTGTCCGATGCATTATGAAGGCCACACTGCACAGATAAACAGCAGAAATTTGAATAATTTGATTTATGGGCATATGAAAACAGAAGAAGAGAATTTGGTTAGTAAAATAAAATGGTAACACTTTACAATAAGGTTCATTAGTTAACATTAGTAAATGCATTAAGTAACATGAACTAACGATGAGCAATGCATTAGCTACAATGTTAATTAATCTTTGTTAATGTTAGTTAATACAAATACAGCTGTTCATTGTGCGTTCATGTTAGTTCACAGTCCATTAACTAATGTTAACTAATACAACCTTTGATTTTAATAACGTATTAGTAAATGTTGGAATTAATATTAACTAAGATTAATAAATGCTGAAGAAGTATTGTTCATTCTTAGTTCATGTTAACTAATGAACCTTATTGTAAAGTGTTACCAATAAAATAAAATATAGTTTGGACTCAGTAAGATTTGTATTGTTTTTGAAAGAAGTCTCTACCAAGGCTGCATGTATTTGATGAAAAATACAGTAAAGAACATAATATTGTGAAATACTATTGTGATTTAAAATAACTGAATGTATTTAAACAGTTAATTTATTCCTGTGATGGCAAAGCTGAATTTTCAGCATCATTACTCCAGTCTTCAGTATCACAATCCTTCAGAAATCATTCTAGCACGCTGATTTACTGCTCAAGAACCATTTCATATTATTATCAATGTTCAAAACAGCTGTGCTGCTTAATATTTTGAGGAAATTCTTTCCCAGATTTTTTTGATTGAACGACATTTTTGTGAAATAGAAATCTTTTGTAACACTGTCACTATCTCAGATCTGACCCCTAACTTCTGACCGGTGTAAACTAAATCAGAATAATAAAATAAAGGGGCACTCTTATGACACTAACCTCTCCAGGGTTTGCCATTTGCTCCAGTACTCGTGTGCTCCACTTCAAAGTGTCCCGATTCAGAACCTTGTAACGTCCTGCAAACACATTTTTAATGTCTTTGAGGCTGAACGCACACACGGCTGAGCGACCCAAGTTTACTTGCCTAAAAAAACAACACAAAAACTGAGGTAAGTATTTTAAGCAAAATGGCAAATTATCAAATAAATCCAACTCAGAATAATAAAGCATGTTTCCTCACCACTGAGAACTGAAAATCCCATAGAATAGAGTTTGGTCCTCAGATGCGCCCTCCGGTGGTGGAAGGCTAACAATGTCCTGTAGGATGTTGTATGGCAGCTCATGGGCAGCTTGACATAGTAGCTGAGCCTTGGCAAAGGTGGTCCAGCGTTTCTGAAGAGTACGCTGCCCTCCCACATCACTCTAAAGAGAAATCCAACTTTTGTTTTTTCATTTGTGTTTGATGAATCTATAAATGGCTAGCTAAAAAAAACTATTATAAACATGCTCACATACACAGGATATAGATCAATAATCAACACTTACTGTGCAAACTTGGGCAATGCGAGACACCGTAAACTTCTCAATGAAGTCGTACTCTTTTCCAGTCTCACTAAAGAAGAAATAAACCTTCTCCTCGCTGGGAACATACGTGGAGCTGATGAAAGTCGGATCTAGGAATTGTGCAGTGAAAAAGAAAGCAGTGTAGTAGTGATAAAGCGAAGCAAATCGGACCTGCTTTTGTGTCAGCATTAAAAAACAAAGTTTTCTTACCTTCTAACCAGCCAAGCGTATCATCCAGTTTCAGATCAACATGGCTGCCCTCGCTCAAGTGGCGTGAAATGACAGGTCGAGTTCCCCTGTAGTCTGCCACTGTTCCGGTGTACAGTTCTCCATCTGAAACATACACAACCATTATATTGTGCTAAACCATATACAAACACCCTCGGCCTCACATTTACAAATAGAAAAGCTGGATGGTGCCTTGCATGGCTGATACCACCGTCGGTGTATGAATGGGTGAACGTGAGGCAAAAAGCGCTATATAAATCCAGTCCATTTACTATAAAGAAGCTTTATTTTTAACAGTATACTGTGTAGGTACACAACAAACAACCGTGTCTGCCAACTAGAGCCCGACCGATAAAGGATTTTGAAGGGCGATACCGATACAAATATTTGTTGGTCTTAAAATCCGATATTCCGATATATCGGACGATGTTATTATTATTTTTTTTATTTCAGAAACGCGCAACAAAATATTAAAAGATTTCCCTAACATTAGTTATTTGTAGTTAATTATGAGTTTTAACTAAAATAATATGATAATGCATAACTGGTTCTCTCTGCCCGACTCTGGCTGGATCAGCAGGTTGCAGGATGTGTAGAGTGCCCTCTGGTGGACAAACTATACAACTCCAACACTCATCACATAGTTGAAGCGTGATTCGTCCATTTTTATTTTATTTTTGACATATTCATTTATCGGCGATTATAACTGCAGATACCGATATTTTAGAAAATGCCTAATATCGGCCGATAATATCGGTCTGGCTCTACTAACTGGGGTCCGTGCATGGCTGTAGGCCTTTCCGATTAATGAGGTAAATGTGAAGTGAACGTTCTCAGGCCTCATGTCTGAAGTCACATGTCAGCCACCCAAAATAAGTAGATCAGGACTAGGATTTAAGAGCAAGAGGATTAACAATGTCAGTTCACTGAGAGAAATCTGCCTCTCTCTTGGTCAATCTATTCATCATTACAGCAAGGCTAATTTCACACCACACACACATAAGTAACATAAAGGAGAAGCATCAGCAATAACTACAATAGGTGTGTTGTACTTTCACTCTGCCATTGTTTTTGCATGACATGACAGAGTTGATGCTCTATATGAGTTTTTTTTTACAAAGATAAATCAATAAATTATGTTTACTTAATTATTCAGTAAAACAATGTTATTGTGAATATTATTGCAATTTCGTCAACAGATCCTCCTAAATATTACACAATGCACCTTTAAAAACATCCATCAAATATCAAACTATTATCATGAGTTTTAAATAATTAAAATAATTTATTTATTAAGCCTTTAAGCGCCAGTTTTTTTTTCTAAAATGTTCGGTTTTGACATCTTTATTTCAAAAGACTATATCTTAAAAGTGAAACAAGATAGATACTTTCTGTAAATTAGAGAAATATTAAGGATGACCCAAAGTTTATGTAGGGATTATGTAAATTTTCCCATCCAATTAGCATACTATGATGTCATATGGTGGCAGCAATCTTGGATGATAGAATTTTTCTGAAAAGTCACATGTTTAAATGATAAATTGCAGCACTTCATGGAGGGGTTGTCGAATGAAATTTGACACCCAATTTGACAAAATCGGCCGTTTTATTCAGTGACGCATCTTGACGCATACACAAAGTGTCAGACCAAACAAGTCAAGTATGGAGTGCCACAGGGCTCAGTATTATGTCCTATACTTTTCTCCTTTTCTATGATCAGGAAATCAGGAAACAAGGCATTATTATAATATATGAAACTCAGCTTTATATTTCCTTCAAACCTGAGCCAAGCAGAACGTATTTGTTATATCAAAGACTGGATGATTTCCTTTTCTCAATTCTGATAAAATACGGGTATTAGTTATTGGACCAAAAACCGATCGAATATAATCGAGTTTGCCGACTATCTGTTTAGACATGAAACTCTAGTCTAGATAGCACAGGCAATCACATCATTTTCTACACGGCACAAGCTTATTGGCTTCTGCTGATTATGCATTCAATGAGCTTGTTTGCTCAACATTTAAATAGTCTCTTAGGAAAACTGTGTGAAACAAGCCATATAACCTATGCAAGCTCTTCATGGCGGTGGATGAATTCTTACCCACAGTTATGGCAGTGTTCTTCTGATACGGGTCGTAAGGGCAACGACCTCTGCCTTCTTCAGGCTTACCACTGTGGATTGTAGCTATGAAGAATGTCTTCAAATCCTGTGGAGGTGAGCACATAAAGCATGTGTGTATTAATAATGCACTGATAAACTTGAGGAAATTAGATTAGATTAAACACTTTTGCCTTGCTGAAAGACACTGACAACAGTAATAATTCACAGGCTGTGGTTCTTTCATTCAAAAGGCTTGCTATTTGGCATGCAAATCTCCCAAATCTTCTTCCTCTCACACTCATGAAAACACAGAGTGAGGAAGAAGCACTGAGACCACTGTGTTCGCATGACAGGATTGAATAATGCTCAATGGTATGTGAAGAACAGTCACGCAAGGTTTCATCTTAAAGGTGATGCTGCAAACTAATTCAATCTTTAACTATAAAGCAAGGATTCATTTAATATACACAGTGACAGCAGGGTTCTGCAATCTCCTAATATGTCATGTGACTGATGCTGAGGCTAAGGCTGTAGATTGACGCTTAACTCAATAGAGGTCAGTGCACAGACATAGATGTGACTCATATGAAAGGACACTACATAATCATTCATGGCTCTTCACACAGTAAAACTGGTTGCAATTTTGGCCCTGTCACACAGAACTTTCAAAATGGTTGGGAAATTACCATTGTAAAATAAATAAATAAATTATGTATAATTATATTCACATAAAACAGATGACGTAAATAATTATAAAACAATTATTCTATAAATATTACATCTATTAGCCCTTGAAAGCCTTCTTTTCTTTCAGACGTATTAGCGGTCATCGGTTTTGTGTTTACATTATGCTTACAGAAATTAAACTGTTAAAAGACGGACTTACGATGTAGATGCAGCGGGGGCTGAAGGCAAACGTTCCACAGGCGAACATATGGGTGGAGTTCAGCTCTTGCAAAACCCTTACAAAGTTATGACAATCCATCTGAGGGTGAATAGGGGAGTTAAGTTAAAGGCCAGCTTATAAAAACAGATATTTGCTCAGTTTAACGTAAGTGTCAAAGATGTTGGACTGTTTAGGACTTAAAGTTGGTTTCCCAAACCTTCATTTTGCCTTTCATGGAACAATCAGCGAGGTCTTTTTCTGTGGGAGACCAGTCCAGCTGAAATGTGAGTGTAAAAACAAGGTCAGATTTGTCACATGCATATACCACAGCTCAAAGAGAGCTGATTTTTTTTTTTTTAACGAACTGTTAAACAAGAAAACAAACATCAACAACCCAAAACATGCAAAAAAATAATACCTAAATTCTTAGACTAGATCCATAATTACATTAACTTCATAAAATAGTTACATAAAATTTTATTTGCTTAGAAGCACATTGGTTACCAGTACCTAAACATTAATTTAAGCTTACACATAAATATTTTTATATATTATGTATTCTTTTGTTATATTTGTATATGTATTTTACTCAAATTTATTTTGTGATATACGCTATAAGCAATAAGGCAAGAGAAGTCCTGCTAAATTTGATATAGTCACGGCTAAAGTGCTTTCTTGATTTTATAAAACGTTTAAAATATTAAATAAAATAAAAATCAAGGAGATACATTTTAATTAAATCACTGAAGCTCCTGACATAACAAAAGGTTGCTATGCAACAAAAATAATCATCGGCTATGGCAGCTGTTCTTTAACATGAAATATAAGTGAGATGGAATGCTGTATATTGACCAATCAGCATCCAGGGATGATATATATATATATATATAAACATATAATGTATATTTTTATGTTTCCTTTAGTCTGATTGGTTGTGCTGACATAGCTAGTCACGTACTAAATCAGAAAATCACACTGACCTTCTTCTTTACGGTCATATTGTCAGTCTGACTGACATCAATTGAGAGAATGGCATCACGTGCTCCGACGAATAAGGTGCCCTCGTCGTTGCTAAGCAACAGCGTGGTGGTGTTATAAACATCAGGGTTTGTGAAGACAGCGAGAGAACGACCTGGACTTCCTGTGACACAGCAGAAAAGACAAAGAGGAATGACATAAATGGAAAAATAATGAATCACAGTTTACAGTTTTACCGTAGAGTTCCAAATAATAACCACTATTTTTATTTCAATTGATGGATGAATGAAAGGGTTGTATTTCCCAGAACCACAGAAGAAATATATATGAAATTATATTGAGCAATTATTTTAAAAAAATATTTGTTTATCCTAATTAACTGTTTTGGAATAAAAATAAAATAAAATAACAGACAGCAGGGGGCAGCAAAATCTCCACAAAACATAAAGGAAATATAAAATTGTGGCCAAAAGGAAATAAACAGCTCTCACATGTTTTGTTGAGAATTTGACTGTCATGTTATCTAATAATCTCTCCATCAAAAACACCTGCAATGCATCAAGGGGGAATCAGATACATGGCAGGGTTTAAATTTGTGCAGCAATAGTAATACTGATTGCCTACTTATAAAACGTGAAAGACGAACTTAAAGAAATCTTGATTATTGTTTTGTTTCAGAAACACAATCATGTCTGACACTAAAAAATGTGTTCCATGATAAAATTCAACATGTTGTGGAATATTTCACACTGAAGCATGAAGTCTATCTATTCTACACAGAGGAAAGACGACTGTAATTTCCAAGAAGCAGATTTTTGAAGCATGAAGACAACAGCAACTTCCTGTGCTTTTTTATGCAATAGACTCTGAGGTAAAAGCCCGCCATGCATCTTCTTGACTTTTATTAGACTTACACTGTTGCAGTGGTTTCCTCACCAGATGGATGGTTCGCCTCAAGTTTGATGTGTGTGTGAATTTCTGAGAGTAAATTTAAATGTGGTTGACATGGTATCAGAGCAAAAAGCTGCAACAGAAGCCGATAACTGGTTTCTGTACCCCAAAATAAAACCCACAATAGATTCCAGTCTGGACTGAACCTGTTTGAGCTGAGATGTGAGATGATGTGTCTGCAGACATCCACTTATCATTCAGTCTTACGTGACTTTATGCAACTGATCTCTTAAACACACAACGCTATAAACCTGATAAAGCACAATACACACCCTTGTCAACAAAATAATGAGAATAAGGACCAGAAATTAAAGCTGAATTATTTATTGTTTTTGTTTGGATGCCAGAACAAAAACACACCACAATGTGTGCCATGGTGATATCTGCCTTGATCTACATGCAAAAACAAGCACGCAAGCAAGCATTAATGTTGTGCATGGGGTCAGAGACTGAGCGTTTTGTATAGGAATACAGTACACTACCATTAACAAGTTTGGGGTTGGTAAGAGTTTTAAAGGTTTCTTAAGCTCACCAAGGCTGCATTTATTTGATTGAAAATACATATGTATTCCTGTGATGGCATACTGTCCTCAGTGTCACATGATCCTTCAGAAATCATTCTTATATGCTGATATTTCAATGATTATCAATGATTATTATCATTGTTGTGCTGCCTAATATTTGTGTTAAGGATCAGGATTCTTTTATGAACATTTCTTAAAAAAGAATACAAAAATAAACAGAGAACATTAGTGAATCCTAATTTACCTGACATACAGGATGCTAATTTTACAACTGTGCACAGTTTAATTATTACAAATATTTCTTGTTTAACAAGTTTATGCAAAACAGCAACGGTGGCTCTCAATTTGGTTTTATTTTTAACTGTTGTACATATAATATTAAAATCAAGAGAAACTGTCATGTTGATGACGAGCCGAAACAAACACACAGTGGCTTGTGAGAATATACAGGCCTCGGAATGAAAAGCAATGCGTTATGTCATTCTCGAGAAAAGCAGCAAGTGGAAAACTGTAAGTGGTTTAGAAAACAACGAGTTTCATGTCTAAATCTGTCTCATATCTATAGTATTGTCTAGTCTACATCTACAAAAACAGCCACATGAAATGATAGCATCTCCGTTTGCAAACGGCACCATGTCCGCTCTTACAGGAAACTTGCTCTGGTCAAATAGAAACACGACAATACCTGAACTGAGAACATCAAACCACACACTTGAAAAAACAGAAACCACTTCAGAAATAGTTTTTATTCCAATCCATTAACATCAATGCATTACATAAATTAATACGGTAAGTCACTAAATTTAAGGAAATAATAATGCAATAATAAAAAATACACTAATTCCAAAACTACACCCTCCACTTTCCATAATAATAATAATAATAATATATATATATATATATATATATAAACAATTTATTCCTGAAAGGTAACTTTAGAACTTATATTTTATAGATAGAGTTAAACAAAGTATAACAAATGCGATTACCTCCTTTCACCTGAAAGTTCAGAAAGTATGGAGCTAATACTGCACGTACTTTTATTTACAGAACTGGATATTTCAATTGTTCTTATACTACTTAATTATAGGTTGAACAAGGGTATGCAATCTTTAAACATACACTATGTAATTTTTGGCCACCAGGGGTCGCTAATCTCTTACAATAACAAAGGAGTCTCTTGATAACGAATAACGAGTTGACAACAACTGTCACCCAACGATTCTATCTTGTCTACAAACCACGTTTTGTGACGAAAAAACACAAAATAAATAAATAAATAAATAGAAACTAGTGCTGCACACGGTTTGCGCGACGATCTGCTCTGAGGAAAAAAAAATGCAAAAAAAGAAAAACTAAGATTTACCTGGTGTCCTCAACCCATGCGTTGCTATGATTGGCTGTGCTCATGACATCACTGAGTTTGAGTGGCACAACGGCTCTGGATATCTAGCAGGCTAGATATTTTTCTGGGTTCGCCGACGCATTTGCGAGGCGTCTGCGCGCGTTTTCGCTGCGTTGTTGGCTCTTTCATACTAACAGATTGGCAAGCATTCATCGTACGCTAATCCCCCACAATTTGCACGCGATTACACACAGACCTGTCGGCGAGCTCAACGATTTGCAAATCGGGCATAAATCGGGCTTAAAATCCTGTAGTGTGAACTTAGCATTAGTTGGGTTGCTCGTGGCAAGGAACAACATTTTGTGTTTACGACAGTGTTGTTGAAAGCATTTACTACCAGACACCAGGGGGAGCTAGAGGGAGCTTCATAGAGGAAAAAAAAAACACTCAGGCTTGCCTGGTGTCCCTTAAATAGCAATTTTCTCACGATTTACATATAGTTGGAAACATTAGGGATATTGTAAGTAATCAACTAAACAAAATATATAAGTGGTTTTTAAAAAACAAAAACCTACATTTTCTATCTTTAAGAGCAAAATTAAGAAAATAATAGTTGTCAGAACTGTGTGGAATGGATCCAATAAACTCCTTTCACTCAGGAGGAGTGAAGTGGTGTTACGTAACTATTTCAGATCTGAAAAACTTTGGCCAGTGCTGGCAGATACACGCCGCTATCCGAGTGTTTGGAAGAGCGACGACTGCAAGGACAGTGATGTCATAAAGGAAGCTCTAAGCTTATCTAACGTCTAAGTCACATTAACACATCTGAATCAACACATTTTTGCCCTAGGCACAGTATTCTGGTGAGAGCACGTGAACAACTTCTCTGTTAGCTGTCATGAGCCTGGGAAGAAAACACTCGGCTCTGTGGGGAGGCTAATCCTAAAGCTGAGCCGCAGCATACCAGCTGTCTTCTCCCAGCAGCCCTCTGAGCGAGAGGAACGTCAGCACTACTTTTCCTCCTCCTCCACTATATATCATTCACATGACAACTACTGTGTAACCATAGCTTTTCTCAAAAAATAAAAATATATGTGCACCCGCAGACTTCATTCACACCTGCCCCTGGGTGTCAAATATATTTGTTCATGTTATAACAAAGACATATTTTAAAACTACAGATCTCAAAGAGAGTTTCACCAAAATTAGTCCTGGAAATTCAGAAAATCTGCTCAAAAACAAATAAACCAGGCATAACGTCTTTGAAAATGCTGTTCTAGCAATAAGGGGAAGAAAATCTTGGGATAATTAGCAGCACTTAATGGTGATTTTGGTCTTATGACCATTTCACTGAACTAAACTCCTATAATTCCTCATCTGAGCTGCTCTCTTGTCTGTCATGCCTGTAAAGAATGTGGATCTGACGGTCAGCACGCGGCTGTGAAATTATGCAACCCCAGGGTACACACACTCTCAGTGCAGGCCAGAGAAACCAAAACACTTCAGTTCACTTCGACTTGCTCCAAAAGCCATCTCCTTGACTTACTTTGATATAGAAATATCTTCTTCTTCTTTCTTTCTTTATTTAGAAAGCACTATTTCAACAACAGTTAGCTGTACCAAAGTGCTGTACAAAAATTCTAAAATATGAAATAAAATAAAGTCAAGAAATACAGAATAAAGCACAGGACAACACCACACAGAATCACATAATACAACATAATGCACAAGTGGACACACAAGTGTCTTGTAACAGTACATTTTCTCCAGGAACTAAAAAGAAAACACAAATGTGACAAAAACGAGACTGCTGAGGAAGTTTGCTTGACTAAGTGCTCATGCTTCCTGATTCATGATTACGTACAGTTTAAAATACAGACACTTCGTCTGGTTTTATCAAATCCATGTGTAACTCCCATGTCTGTGCACGTCACCAACAGAATATTATTGATTTGCCTGCAACATTGTATGAGAACTGAACTGAGGTAAACATGGGCATCCCTGTTTTCTCAAGAGCTGCTGTAAGGGTACATTTACACAACAATGATGTACTAAAAACTGAAACTTTTTTCCCCTCTGTACAGATGACGATATTATCAAATTGATCCCCATCCAAAATGACTTAAATACCAGACAAGTAGTAGTCAATGTCACTTTGTTAAGAAAGACTATTTCTGCATTTATGCCTATAGACTAAACGCATACTTTTATTTTGAAAGCTTTATCAAAGTTTGCGTCCTCAGGCCACAACAATGAAGTTGTTGTGTAAATGAACGGTCAGAATGCACTAAAAGTGATCTGTTTTCAGATGAAAATTTATTAATCAATTTAAAATCAATGCTGAACTTACTAAAACTGATCAATGACTTTCCTCTGCTGTTGAACAGCCAAAACAATCTTTGTTGCATTCACTTCCACTTATCACTGTAAAGATGCTTTGAAACAATCTGTATTGTAAAAAGCACTATATAAATAAAGGTGACTTGACTTCCGACCGAACATATTGAGTCTACGTTTGTCGGGTCTTGGAATATCAGTACTGTAATCTGGTGCTTGTCCGCATATCGGTCGTCTATCAGTGCAGTTTGAATCGCCCATTAAAGTTGCACGAGGAATCAAAACATCTGTTATATTTTAAGATGAGTTTATTTTACTATAAATATATTGGTAAAATTGACAATTTATTGAAACTAAGTAGTTCTGAACTTCTACTAACAGGATAATTGACAGAGAATGAAAAGATTGTCTAAAAACTAAACTATGGCGAGAAAAAAAAAATCTACTGTGCATTTCATAGAAAATAAATTAAACAAATAAATTACATCTATATCCACAACTTTCCAATTTGATTTGTTTACTAGGACTAGATATTACAATCCCTAATGATTCAGCTCAACACAGCACTGGCCTCGACATATTCAGCACTACCAGTCCACGTTGAAGGAGTCGTCTTAGGCAGGTCTTTAAACCAAAACGACACATCCCCAGTTGTGTACACTCTTAGAAGAAAGGGTTCTATATAGAACCTTAAAAGGTTCTATCAGTGCTATGTATTTGGAACCCCTAAAAGGTTCTATACACTCTTAAAAAAGGGTTCTATATAGAACCCTGGGGTTCCGTACTTGGCCAATAGAACCTTTTACCAAAAAAATTGGTTCTATATAGAACCATTTTGGAGTTCCAAATATGAAGCGGGGGATGGAACCATTTCTTCTAAGAGTGTACCCCCTCCTCTCTAGGTGTTGTGGCCTTTTATCACAAGACACCCTCATTAGAGGCAGGCACGGGCTGATCAGACCTGGGTGTATGTGGCATGGTGACTAGAAAATTGGCATCCCGCACCGTCTCCTTTCGTTTGAGCCACAGCCAGTGACTACTTCCTTTGGCGACAGTGGCAAGTTCCTTAAGTACTTTCCACTGGGCAAGGCCTCTGAAACCCACTTCCTTCAGCAGCCTAATGGCAGAACTGGCTACAAAGCCAACGTAGCCCACCTTCATCAAATGTGGGCAAAATAGTTTGGATTTATTTTTAAAAAAAATACTTCCCTTGATCTGAGCGGTACAAGACTTGGCTACTTTTCCTAAGTTTGCCTCCTGAACACACACACACACACACACATTTTTTTACTCAATTCTACAATGTTAAGTGGGTGAAAGAAACCTCCTTAACCTTGTATTTCGGTCAAAAATGGGCACCCATACAAATAAATGGGAAAAACTGTAATTTACAGCATTCAATAAGCCAAAATATGACACCAGGTGACAGCAAAGTCACTTCGTCTTTAGGTTTTAGCTCTAAGAACTTAATGGAATGATATTTTAATGTAGTTAAAAAAAAAAAAAAAACTACATAGTAATTCATTTACAATAATTTACATAGAAAATATGGTACTTTTTGAAGTGAATAAATTCAAAAATACCCCAAAAATAATAAAAAAAAACACCATAACTGGATAGACAAATTTATCGAAGACAGTGATATAATATTCATAATGAATAAAAATTAGGATCACACCAGAGTCCTCTGTGCCCACATTTGTCCACAATTACAGGATTAATGGCTATAAATTGAATACGGTTTGAGGGCTACAATGCACATCAAAATTTCCAATAAAGAATTTGAAAGTCAGATTGCGCAAAATGATGATTTTTGTGTTTTTCCAGACAAAAAAAAAAAAAAACCCATAAATCTCTCATCTCAGGGGGATTTGAGGGTGGAAAGCACAGTAATTTGAAAATACTACTGGTTTTCTACTAAAACAAAGTATAATCCTGAAGTATCCTTAAGAATACAGAAAGCATTTATTGATGCACCATATTACTTGTATTATCAAATCTGGTTTTCGTGTTTCCGGAGCTAGTGTCAATCACAACAGCAATTAAAAGTGTGCAGATGTCATCATCAAATCATGCTCAAACACCTGCATAGGTGTGACCAGGCTCACTCTGACTGGCATCATCGGCTGTAATTGGTAGGTACTGCTGAGAAACAAAGACTCAGAGTCTGAATTAAGCCCTGTAATCTTCACAAACTCATGTCTAGTCATTTTCAGGGTCAAATGACTGATCCTGAATCAGCAAAAGTGATGTATCTGCATGTCTAAGCATCTGTAGCACAGTCTATCTATTGTTCTGATAAACAAGGAGTATCTCCTTTGAACTGATTTATGTGACTCTCATAGAAAAGCCATTTGCCAGGTCAGCCTGATTCTGCCCTGCTTAGCCAGCTCATGGACTGACCTCCTCTTAACAAATAACTGTTGTTCAGAGAACAAGGGCCTCCATTCATTAAAAAATAAAAACAACAAAGCCACTTTCAATTACATCAGCGGATTTATCTGCTTACTTTTTTGTTTCTCAAAAGTAGATCATTTTAACTTCCTTGTCTGTGACCCAAATGTATAACCCTAAAATCACTTCTTATTTTTTTAACAAAAAAATATTTGACCAAGACATTTGTAAAAATTTTTTTTTAATTTTTAATGCTTTTTTATTGTATTTTTATTTTTATTACACATATAATAGAAATATTTTTGAAAGAAATTAATTCAGGATGCTTTTTTTGATCAGTCATGTTTTTGTTTTTTTTGCCTTAAATATTTAAGTTGATCCTGTCACAATGTTATATGTTCCACACAATCCAATAAAGAATTTGACAAAACAGTAATGTGTGGCAATGCAAAAAAAATAAAAACAATATTCCTCAATTGTGTCACTTTACAAGGCAATAAAGTGCGCTGCAAGTTCCTAGATTTTAGGAACCTGAGAGAAGAACTTTGTTTGTGAGAGGTCACAGGAGAAATGAAACCTAGAGGTTCCAGAAACATTTTAAGAAGCCATTATAAGAGGTTTGCATCAAAGCTCCCAATCAGATAAATGACAGATGCTTCCTCTTAAGAGAATCCAGGCAGGATCTTTCATTCCTCTTTACATCCAAAGTTTCCTAATCAGGGCAAAAAACATGATCTATATGGAAAGGTATTTCTTGTAATGTAATCTCTCTTATGCTTCCTGCTTGTTATCTTTTCTTGTTAGTAAAAATGAAATGTGTAGCCCTGCTGGTATTTTAACATACACAAATGATTAAAGTAGACAAACATCCTGTACAAATTGATTGTCAAACAGAATCTGTGCAGACTCCAAAAGTTGTTGTTGTGGAAAGCAACTCTTAAAAAAAGTCTCTCATGTCTACAAAATATTAGCATTCTTAATAATATAAGCATTTTGTATCTACTCAAATAATATTAAGATAATGATGACTATGACGACGTTATGATAGTTCACTTCACATAATGATTATACCAGTATTTTAAATATATAATAGTAAATTAACACTGATTTGTACTGTATATTCATGCTATTAAAAGATATTTACAATGCTGTTATGAAGATATTAACAGTACAGTACAATATTTCAAGTATGTTTAAAGGGATACTCCACTTTTTTTTTTTTGGAAATAGGCTCATTTTACCACTCCCCCAGAGTTAAACATACCGTTTTGAATCCATTCAGCCGATTTTCTGATATTTAGAAGAATATCAGTAACCAGACAGTTTCTGGTCTCATTGACTTCCATAGTAGGAAAAAATATATACTATGTAAGTCAATGAGACCAAAAACTGTCTGGTTACTGATATTCTTCTAAATATCAGAAAACCGGCTGAATGGATTCGAAAACGGTAAAACTCAAATGTTTAACTCTGAGGGAGTTGCAAAATGAGCCTATTTCCAAAAAAAAGTGGAGTATCCCTTTAACTCAAGTGGCACAGAACTAAATCTCACTAGACTTGATTATGTAATTCAACTTTATTCACCTTCTGGTTTTCCATTTACCCTAAAAACCACTGCAGGCCAAAGGTAAAGAGGACAACACCAGCTCACAAGTTTCATAAGCTATTCAAATACATCTAATGGCATTCGAAAAACAACTTGTTGCTCTAAAGTCAGTAAAGTCAAAAATCTCGAAAAGTTCAAAAATAAGACTTACCTATGGGAAACGAGAGACGGGGGAGGACATGAGAATGACAGCTGAGGACAGTCAGAAGAGACAGACAGGCACAAAGTGACGTTGAATGCATCATTCCTGTTGGAAAACCAAGAGGACACCGAGCACAACAGATGAGCTAAAGACTGGTATATCTGTCGCCGTCAGGTTCTCCGCCTGTCGTTTCAGCACCGAGTAGCCCACAAGGACACCACTTCAAACAGCCAAAAGAGTCTGCCGTCATCTCATCTGTGCAGAAAAATTAAGAATGCGTTAGAAAACTGTGGGCGAGTTCTTGAAGAAATCACTTCCTCTGAAGTCCTCTCTTCCTCTTTTTAAACGTTGTATAAGCTTAAGAAACAAGGGATGACAAACATACTGTAAGCAGCACATGCCATGACTTCATCTGTGATTGGTTGGAGGGGGATTTAAGTTACATTTTGACATTAGAAGACAAGAGAAAGCCAATGTAATCTGATGGTGTAGAGTGGAAACAGAGCAATATGCTTTTCGCCAAGTAGTGTTGCCCCAATTTTTTTTATTAGATAAAGCGCATTCATTTTTACAATAGTCAATTGAACCCCTGACGCCGTAAACCAGACTAGATCGTCAATGCAATACTTTTCAACTTGGATGGTGAAATTTGACATTAAAAAGAAGTGTTGGATATTCCAGTGTTGATCCAGCACATACAGTATGACACTCAGCTGTCTGACAAAGCAATGGAATTTGAGTCATATCTCGACTTCCATCATGTGACAGCAAACGCTACAATATTACAACAGAGCCATTCACATCTGATTAAGCATAGTGCTAGATCAAAACAGATTGTAATTGGTGTGTGAACACAGCAGGTCAGATGAGTGTTTCACAATCTACTGATGAGTGTGAAATTGTAGTAAGAGGTCCAGAAGTTTATAATAGCTCGAGAGTGCTATCTGCTAGCTTTTTTATTCATATAATGACATAACATCATGTTAATACACTCTTACAAGAAAAGGTTCTATATAGAACCTAAAAAGGTTCTATCAGTGCTACGTATTTGGAACCCCTAAAAGGTTCTATACACTCTTAAAATAAGGGTTCCTCTGGGTTCTACATAGAACCCCGGGGTTCCGTACTTGGCCAATAGAAGCTTTTACCAAAAAATTGGTTCTATTTTGGAGTTCCATATATGAAGCGGGGGATGGAACCATTTCTGGTTCTAAATAGAACCATTTATTCTAAGAGTGTAGGTTAACATAATTCAGATAGGCCTACTATGGAAGACAATTTTACGCTGTAAAATTTTACCTCATAATTAGGTTGTTAATTTTTTTCAACAACTTTCAAATCTGCCTTTAAACATGAAACAAACGCAGATTTGCAAATACTCAGTTAATATCTGATTAACTGCCCTGACATCAGTTCATATCATGATAATTATCGACTGATATGAAGATTTTTATGATGATAAATTATCTTTTTTGGCCATATCGCCCAGCTTTTTTCACAGCTTTACACACCTATTTATTTTTTTATGACCAGCGCTAAAACAGGGAGTTTCATGACACTTTAAGACAGATTGTTTGTTGAGCCGAAGGCAGGATCAAACTGATACAAAAATATCCACACCACAGTCAAATTAGGGACAGAAGTGTGGAATGTTTTCTTTTTCTGGTAACAACATTGTAGTAATGTCCTTACAAGCAGTACATTTTTCACTTTTAGCTATTATGGTCCCACAAGTTCTTTACTTGCTAATTTTAACACCTAAATTTGCCAATAGTTTATGCTGACATCTATTCTGTTGCCCACTATAAGCACACTGGGCCCCTTGAAAATCATAAGGTAGTCATCTTAATATAACGCGCATATTCATTCGAGAATTGAAGTCAGCTGCCAATGACAAAAAAATGCCCTCAGCTACTTGATAAATAATACACAACCTCTGCGTCAAAATGTTTGTGTCAGGACTGCATGAAAGATGACACGTCTAGTGTAGGAAGTCACGCAAGCCTGACATAAACACAACAAACATTACATCCCATCCTGTCAGCTCTTTCCATAGGTAGTACCTGTACATAAACATTCAGAGACGTGTCTGTCATACTATACAGATTCTAAATTACAAGCTTCAGGTGCTGAAACACACACATGTGCACCAGTGAAACTGCAGTGGCCCTGTGCACAACTTGAGTCAGACTCACAAGATAACAGTTCTTTTAACTGAGAGAGTTCCTCCTATTGTTTACCGTAAGATCATTTGCCTCTTTTCATATCCGTATTAAAAATAAAAAAAGGAGATGTAGACTGTATCGCCTCGCCTCTCACCCATCACAATGTAAAAGAAAATTGTGGCAACAGATTACAAGCAATATTATTAATTCAATGTAGCAAATTTAAATTGAGTAATAATTAATCAAATTAATTATTTTAAGTTAACCATTTAAAGTGAGTAAAACGTACTTAAGTCACCATTATGTTGATCGGTGTTTGTTTTAAAATGACAGTTTCCTGCTTCAGTGTTTCTGCTTGTTAACATCAGGTGTCTTCAATGTTGGCAATATAAAATAAAGAGTTCTTAATTAATCTTTGATGTCAGTCTGTTATTCAGATACTTCTATTAAATTTTTTGGTGTAAACTTTACTCATTTTAAATGGTTAACTTTTAAGGAATAATTTGATTAATTATTACTCAATTCTAATTAGTTAAATTTAATTAATAATATTGCTTGTAATCTTGTTGCCACAATTTTATTGATTAGATAAAGCGTATTTATTTTTACAGTGCACTTGAAGATTTTGTAAACTTATTTCCCATATAGGTCACTTTAAAGACACAGTTTTAAAATCTACTGAATTATATTATCAATGATATAAATCAACATAATTGCCAATCTTATGTGATATTTTTCAGTAATTACATTTCATTCTGCCACAAAAAACAAACACCCTTTTTCATATATATATATAAGAAAATTGTGAATGGACTAATTATTTTTTGAAATCAAATACAAAAAAAGTGGAAGGCTGACACTTTACAATAAGATCTCAATTGTTAACATAAGTTCATTAGTTATTGCATGAGGAATCCTTGCAATATTTAAAATGGAAAATTGACATGTGCCTGAGGTAATTTTTCATTGGAAAGAGTAAAAGAGATGCTCAAAGCAGGTCAAACTGTTCAGGGAGAATCAGACCTGTTGAAGATGAGCAAATACTGAAGTCTAGTGTCAAAAACACGAGGAAGCAGTCTTCTGAAGTTGCCCGTGCAGGTTCCCTTTTCCCCTAAATCTCAGTCGCACATGCAGAAGATAGAGCGGTGATCGAGAAAAGGAGAACTGAAGGGAGGGTGGGTGGTAACTAATGGGGTGAAGACAAAATTATCTCTCCATTTCACACAAATGCATGAAGCTTAAAGGGGTAAAAGTTCCCGTAATTATCCCCGTTCAAACAGATCTGCGGAAATGAAAACCGCTGTATTATGCTCGGGTTGGGTAACGTTTGGGGTTTTCACAACGGTGCCAAATCCATACTTTTAAAACTGTACCTTGTTCCTGTTTTACACTTCGTGCATGTGTATAGAATGTTAAATGAGTTAATAATGATATCATGGCTCCGTGGATTTGCACTTAACAAGCCTAGGCAGCGAATGAGAGAGAGATCGACTTAGCGTGTGCGATTACATGCGTCTGTCCTTCAGGTCAAGTACTGACACAGGTCAACTGTTTGTTAAGGCCTATATTTGCCACGTCAAAGGAATGTGAAATCTTTGGCATATCACCCTTTTTATCATTTAAGGGTATTTCCAGTTGTCAGCATTAAATTAATGCAATTGGTCTCTATGAAGTGAAGCATCAGTTTCAGTGTTGCCCATGCGGCGCATGGCTGCTCAGCCGAGCCTTGTAAAGTGGCACTCAAAGTTAAAATAATTAACACCTTGTTTCATTATATCTAGGCTTTGACCAAATAAATATATTCTAAAATTAAAATTGAACAGCTCAGGCCCTTAAGTGGTTCTGATTTGGTCCAGTATACCGGTCATATAGATGGCACCAGGTTTCGGTACCCAACCCTAATTATGCCACCCTGCCAGTAGTTGGCGATGTCACTTTGTAAGGAAACACTATCGACTGAACAAGTAATACGCATGACGTCAACTTTTTCACAAATTTGATGTTTATATGTTGATGATAATGGTATTGTTTTCAAAAAACGTGCATTTTTAGGCCGCCAAAACGCTTCTATAATAAATCAACGGTCAAAGCGCATAAAAAAGTTTTCCGTTTTTTGTTGAAAACCGTGTCATGTAAACAAGAAGCCCCTGAGATTTGAAGATAATTTCAACAATTTGACCATGTATTCACATTTCCATGGTTCTCTGGAGTTGTTATTCAGGTAAATATAAAATCAATTAATAATAATAGGAAAAACTGATCTACCCAATGTCTAGCAGGGATTACATTAAATCAAAAAGAAAATACATTTTACACAAAGAAAGTGAAACCTATTTTTCTACATTATTGTTGTTTGCACTCTTGACATTTTTAGGACAATTTATTCCCAATTATTATCATTATTAACAGAACACATTCTCATTCTTATCACTGATTATTCATTACTCTAATACAGTAGTTGTTCTGTATTAGAGTAAAAAAAGATAATGTTATAATATGTTATTTCTACTATATAATGTTAAAATAGTATAGCATAAATTAAAAGCATGACAAATAATACCATGATGTATTATATATTAAAATACAACATCATATTTTTAATTTGAAAAATAAAGATAATATGAAATTTGGAATTGAAATGCTTAACTAATAAATTGCAAAAACTATTAAATCACAAATACACACACACAAAAAAATAAGAAAAACAGTTATGAAGGGGAAACAACTGGCAAAGCCTTGCGTGAAGGGGAAGCATAAAAAAAAATAAAAAATCTCCCTCCGGAAGAACATTACGTATTTAGGAAAACCACTGGTGGCATTTGCGTGCAAGCAGGTAACATCTAGTCCATGGAGGAAAAGCAATGAGTCAGTGAAGGAGAAGAAAATTGCTCTCCAAGTAAAAGCTTTAATTCCCATGTGCAGTTGCCATGACTACAGATGATGTGATTACAGTGGAGTTATGAGGTTTGTCAGCCAGTGTGCTGCTGATGCACTATAGTATAACGCTGGCTGTCATGTGAAGGAACAGTGTGAGAATGCCACACAGCCTATTATTTTAAGTGTGTTAGTTAGTTAAATCCAGCAAATAAAAAAACAGCCAGGGATACTATGCCATGCAGGGTGTGATGTAAGGTTGTTTTTGAGAGGAATGAAAACTCAACTCAAGACAAATCCCATCACAATCTGAACAGTACAGGTGATTTGAGTCTCTGGATCATGTTTTGAGGACAGACTGATCAGGCAATGCTCAGATTAATTTCATTGCACTATTGCAAAATACACCGCTGGAGCTTCCTCAGACACAACAACACTTTTCTGAACCATTTTTGCAATGACTTAACCAACTGATCCCAAGGTAGTCAGTTCACCTCAGGTTCTACAGTGTCTTAAAGGGATAGTTCACCCAAATATGGGAAAAATACACATAATGGAAGTCAATGTAATCAACTGTTTGTTAACCACATTCTTCAAACTATTTTCTTTGGTGTTCAGCAGAAGAATTAAATTCACAGGTTTGGAACAATGCGAGAAAAGACTCAAAAATGGGTGAACTATACCTTTAACATCACCACAGGTGTAGTTAATCACATAATTACAACGACAACAATAGAAATAATAATAATTATAGAATAGTGTAATATATATGTTAATGTTTTTAAATTTCGTAAACGTATTTTGCATTAAAATGATCAGAACTCTCTTTCAATGACTGGTATTTATTATTTAACACTGAAGGCTTAGATACTGTGCAGTAAACTGAATTTCTATAAAAGTGTGCATGCAATTTCTATACAAACTTTAAACCAGACTGAAAACACGTCCTGCTCACCACAGGGCAAAAGCACGTGTGTCTCTCTCTCTCTCTCTCTCTCGTTGCAAAGTTTCTACACTGTAAACATAGCCAACCACATTCAACTCATCGCAACATAATAACGTTAGTCAATGTTTCACCCAAAAGTTTCACTGTAAAGTTAGCCTACAACTCAAATCTGCATTTGCATGATTTGGATGCATGCTCAGCACAAACATATCAGTTATCGTCCATAGTTTTGGGATTTGCCCATGTCCTTTCCAGTCTATCGTCAAATACACAGAACGACGTTTTTACTACACTTCATAAAGCTCTGCAACGATATAACGGTTGTACTCACATGAAAATGTGCTTCTCCGTGATCTGTTCTGCTGCGCTCCGGTCTTGATATGATAGTCATGAATCCGTCTTTATTACCGTTTCTGAATTAAGAACAAGCCCCAAACTGACGTTACTACTCGAAGTAATCGAAAATCTGAAGCACTGTCTGTGTTTACAGGCAGAATTCTCTAAAATAACATTTAAAGTAGCTCGTTCTCACGTAAACGGTCGTCTCTCCCTATCTATTGTGTCCGGTGTCGTGCCAAGGTACTTACCCCTGAAAGGAAGTGTATCCCCGGTCGCGGGAGCGCGCACGCATTCAGCAGGAGGTGTGTCATTACTTTGTCCAAGATGAATTAAACTATAACACGTGAATTGTTTAAGTCATCGTTTTACTGTTGTTGTTGTTTTGTTTTTTTTTATCGACTAGGTTTAGCAAAGACAGATATCATGTGGCCCATCAAAAACTAATTATTTTGTGGGCAAACGATCTAGCTTCATGCACGGAATGGATCAATTCTCACGAGAATGTACTGAAAAACTAAGACGACCATATCGTTTCACAAGCAAACAGCCCGTGGATATAAAATTGTTCTTACCCCCCCCCCCCCCCCTCCTCCTCCTTCCATGGTGAATTATTACCAAAATCATTCAATAATGCATTGCACTTATACATAGGCAAACAACGATTTTACCGATGATGGCCTATCATCAAGTGTTTTATTTTATGAATACTGTACATCATGTCTAATAACAGCAGTGAATATGAACACATTTCCTATTTCCTGACTAAAGTTATAGTGGGATACAGATTTTTTCAGACCGTATTTTCGACCTGCCAAAATATGTACCCCCCCCCTAAAATCTACAGGTGATGGCCTATCATCTAGTGTTTTATTTTATGAATACTGTACATCATGTCTAATAACAGCAGTGAATATGAACACATTTCCTATTTCCTGACTAAAGTTATAGTGGGATACAGATTTTTTCAGACCGTATTTTCGACCTGCCAAAATATGTACCCCCCCCCCAAAATCTACAGGTGATGGCCTATCATCTAGAGTTTTATTTTATGAATACTGTACATCATGTCTAATAACAGCAGTGAATATGAACACATTTCTTGTTTTCTGACAAAAGTTATAGTGGGATACAGATTTTTTCAGACCGTATTTTCGACCTGCCAAAATATGTATCCCCCCCCTAAAATCTACAGGTGATGGCCTATCATCTAGTGTTTTATTTTATGAATACTGTACATCATGTCTAATAACAGCAGTGAATATGAACACATTTCTTGTTTTCTGACTAAAGTTATAGTGGGATACAGATTTTTTCAGACCGTATTTTCGACCTGCCAAAATATGTATCCCCCCCCCTAAAATCTACAGGTGATGGCTTATCATCTAGTGTTTTATTTTATGAATACTGTACATCATGTCTAATAACAGCAGTGAATATGAACACATTTCCTATTTCCTGACTAAAGTTATAGTGGGATACAGATTTTTTCAGACCGTATTTTCGACCTGCCAAAATATGTATCCCCCCCCTAAAATCTACAGGTGATGGCCTATCATCTAGTGTTTTATTTTATGAATACTGTACATCATGTCTAATAACAGCAGTGAATATGAACACATTTCCTATTTCCTGACTAAAGTTATAGTGGGATACAGATTTTTTCAGACCGTATTTTCGACCTGCCAAAATATGTACCCCCCCCCCTAAAATCTACAGGTGATGGCCTATCATCTAGTGTTTTATTTTATGAATACTGTACATCATGTCTAATAACAGCAGTGAATATGAACACATTTCCTATTTCCTGACTAAAGTTATAGTGGGATACAGATTTTTTCAGACCGTATTTTCGACCTGCCAAAATATGTACCCCCCCCTAAAATCTACAGGTGATGGCCTATCATCTAGTGTTTTATTTTATGAATACTGTACATCATGTCAAATAACAGCAGTGAATATGAACACATTTCCTATTTCCTGACTAAAGTTATAGTGGGATACAGATTTTTTCAGACCGTATTTTCGACCTGCCAAAATATGTATCCCCCCCCCTAAAATCTACAGGTGATGGCCTATCATCTAGTGTTTTATTTTATGAATACTGTACATCATGTCAAATAACAGCAGTGAATATGAACACATTTCCTATTTCCTGACTAAAGTTATAGTGGGATACAGATTTTTTCAGACCGTATTTTCGACCTGCCAAAATATGTACCCCCCCCCTAAAATCTACAGGTGATGGCCTATCATCTAGTGTTTTATTTTATGAATACTGTACATCATGTCTAATAACAGCAGTGAATATGAACACATTTCTTGTTTTCTGACAAAAGTTATAGTGGGATACAGATTTTTTCAGACCGTATTTTCGACCTGCCAAAATATGTACCCCCCCCCCTAAAATCTACAGGTGATGGCCTATCATCTAGTGTTTTATTTTATGAATACTGTACATCATGTCTAATAACAGCAGTGAATATGAACACATTTCTTGTTTTCTGACTAAAGTTATAGTGGGATACAGATTTTTTCAGACCGTATTTTCGACCTGCCAAAATATGTATCCCCCCCCTAAAATCTACAGGTGATGGCCTATCATCTAGTGTTTTATTTTATGAATACTGTACATCATGTCTAATAACAGCAGTGAATATGAACACATTTCCTATTTCCTGACTAAAGTTATAGTGGGATACAGATTTTTTCAGACCGTATTTTCGACCTGCCAAAATATGTATCCCCCCCCTAAAATCTACAGGTGATGGCCTATCATCTAGTGTTTTATTTTATGAATACTGTACATCATGTCTAATAACAGCAGTGAATATGAACACATTTCTTGTTTTCTGACAAAAGTTATAGTGGGATACAGATTTTTTCAGACCGTATTTTCGACCTGCCAAAATATGTACCCCCCCCCCCTAAAATCTACAGGTGATGGCCTATCATCTAGTGTTTTATTTTATGAATACTGTACATCATGTCTAATAACAGCAGTGAATATGAACACATTTCCTATTTCCTGACTAAAGTTATAGTGGGATACAGATTTTTTCAGACCGTATTTTCGACCTGCCAAAATATGTACCCCCCCCCCCCTAAAATCTACAGGTGATGGCCTATCATCTAGTGTTTTATTTTATGAATACTGTACATCATGTCTAATAACAGCAGTGAATATGAACACATTTCCTATTTCCTGACTAAAGTTATAGTGGGATACAGATTTTTTCAGACCGTATTTTCGACCTGCCAAAATATGTACCCCCCCCCCCTAAAATCTACAGGTGATGGCCTATCATCTAGTGTTTTATTTTATGAATACTGTACATCATGTCTAATAACAGCAGTGAATATGAACACATTTCCTATTTCCTGACTAAAGTTATAGTGGGATACAGATTTTTTCAGACCGTATTTTCGACCTGCCAAAATATGTATCCCCCCCTAAAATCTACAGGTGATGGCCTATCATCTAGTGTTTTATTTTATGAATACTGTACATCATGTCTAATAACAGCAGTGAATATGAACACATTTCCTATTTCCTGACTAAAGTTATAGTGGGATACAGATTTTTTCAGACCGTATTTTCGACCTGCCAAAATATGTATCCCCCCCCCCTAAAATCTACAGGTGATGGCCTATCATCTAGTGTTTTATTTTATGAATACTGTACATCATGTCAAATAACAGCAGTGAATATGAACACATTTCCTATTTCCTGACTAAAGTTATAGTGGGATACAGATTTTTTCAGACCGTATTTTCGACCTGCCAAAATATGTATCCCCCCCCTAAAATCTACAGGTGATGGCCTATCATCTAGTGTTTTATTTTATGAATACTGTACATCATGTCTAATAACAGCAGTGAATATGAACACATTTCTTGTTTTCTGACAAAAGTTATAGTGGGATACAGATTTTTTCAGACCGTATTTTCGACCTGCCAAAATATGTATCCCCCCCCCCAAAATCTACAGGTGATGGCCTATAATCTAGTGTTTTATTTTATGAATACTGTACATCATGTCTAATAACAGCAGTGAATATGAACACATTTCTTGTTTTCTGACAAAAGTTATAGTGGGATACAGATTTTTTCAGACCGTATTTTCGACCTGCCAAAATATGTATCCCCCCCCTAAAATCTACAGGTGATGGCCTATCATCTAGTGTTTTATTTTATGAATACTGTACATCATGTCTAATAACAGCAGTGAATATGAACACATTTCCTATTTCCTGACTAAAGTTATAGTGGGATACAGATTTTTTCAGACCGTATTTTCGACCTGCTATAAAAGGTATCCCCCTCTCCATATTCCACAGATGATGGACTATCAACGTCTCCACTTCCTGTGGCGCCAAGAAAGCAAGATAAGACCCCCGCCATCCATCTTGAGCAGCACCCGTCCCACTTTGTGCTGGACCGCACGTCGCATATTGAGATAATGTCCCGCATCAGTCTGTTGGTTTTTAATAATTTTAAGATGATAAGACACATACTTGGAAGGTGTAATAATACAACAAGATTTAATCAATAAATTCCTCCGGAACAATAATGTACACAAAATTAAGGAGTACAAGCAGTACACAGGAAGGCCTCCTCCGTTGGTGGGCTTTTAACACACATATGGTGGAACCACCGCAAACAAACGTCACACTGAATCTGGAAAACAAATTATTTGGATTCAGTAAGAGGTTGCAAATTTTCATTCCTGTGTAATTGATATTTGTAATATACTGTACAGTAATTATTGTGGAGATAAAATAATTATGTAATGTTTGTAAGTCCTGGGCAAAATAGAAGAAATATAATATAAATATCCAACATAACACTACAATAAAATTCTTAATAACTTTATATCAAAACATATTTCATTTCACATTTCTTAAGTTTGATTTACCCAGCTCAAATCTTCCTTGGGTCCTTCTGATCCACAGAAGTGACATATGTCAGTCAGGTCATCTTAGAAACAAAACAAAACACAGAGCATGAATCTATAATTCTTAGTTTTTCCACACAAATATTTTTTAGGTTAGTATGGAATAATTCTGATGGCTCCATAAAATTAAAAATTCAAATAGTATGAATAATGAACAAATAAAATATACACCACCATTAATTTAGATCATTGACAGTTTTATACATTGAGAATTTATTAAACCAAAAACGTTCACTGCTGTTATTAGACATGATGTACAGTATTCACAAAATAAAACACTTGATGATAGGCCATCACATGTAGATTTTAGGGGGGGGGGATACATATTTTGGCAGGTCGAAAATACGGTCTGAAAAAATCTGTATCCCACTATAACTTTAGTCAGGAAATAGGAAATGTGTTCATATTCACTGCTGTTATTAGACATGATGTACAGTATTCATAAAATAAAACACTAGATGATAAGCCATCACCTGTAGATTTTAGGGGGGGGGATACATATTTTGGCAGGTCGAAAATACGGTCTGAAAAAATCTGTATCCCACTATAACTTTAGTCAGGAAATAGGAAATGTGTTCATATTCACTGCTGTTATTAGACATGATGTACAGTATTCATAAAATAAAACACTAGATGATAGGCCATCACCTGTAGATTTTAGGGGGGGGGATACATATTTTGGCAGGTCGAAAATACGGTCTGAAAAAATCTGTATCCCACTATAACTTTTGTCAGAAAACAAGAAATGTGTTCATATTCACTGCTGTTATTAGACATGATGTACAGTATTCATAAAATAAAACACTAGATGATAGGCCATCACCTGTAGATTTTAGGGGGGGGTACATATTTTGGCAGGTCGAAAATACGGTCTGAAAAAATCTGTATCCCACTATAACTTTAGTCAGGAAATAGGAAATGTGTTCATATTCACTGCTGTTATTTGACATGATGTACAGTATTCATAAAATAAAACACTAGATGATAGGCCATCACCTGTAGATTTTGGGGGGGGGGGGGATACATATTTTGGCAGGTCGAAAATACGGTCTGAAAAAATCTGTATCCCACTATAACTTTTGTCAGAAAACAAGAAATGTGTTCATATTCACTGCTGTTATTAGACATGATGTACAGTATTCATAAAATAAAACACTAGATGATAGGCCATCACCTGTAGATTTTAGGGGGGGGGATACATATTTTGGCAGGTCGAAAATACGGTCTGAAAAAATCTGTATCCCACTATAACTTTAGTCAGGAAATAGGAAATGTGTTCATATTCACTGCTGTTATTAGACATGATGTACAGTATTCATAAAATAAAACACTAGATGATAGGCCATCACCTGTAGATTTTAGGGGGGGGGATACATATTTTGGCAGGTCGAAAATACGGTCTGAAAAAATCTGTATCCCACTATAACTTTTGTCAGAAAACAAGAAATGTGTTCATATTCACTGCTGTTATTAGACATGATGTACAGTATTCATAAAATAAAACACTAGATGATAGGCCATCACCTGTAGATTTTAGGGGGGGGGGGGTACATATTTTGGCAGGTCGAAAATACGGTCTGAAAAAATCTGTATCCCACTATAACTTTTGTCAGAAAACAAGAAATGTGTTCATATTCACTGCTGTTATTAGACATGATGTACAGTATTCATAAAATAAAACACTAGATGATAGGCCATCACCTGTAGATTTTAGGGGGGGGGATACATATTTTGGCAGGTCGAAAATACGGTCTGAAAAAATCTGTATCCCACTATAACTTTAGTCAGGAAATAGGAAATGTGTTCATATTCACTGCTGTTATTAGACATGATGTACAGTATTCATAAAATAAAACACTAGATGATAGGCCATCACCTGTAGATTTTAGGGGGGGGGATACATATTTTGGCAGGTCGAAAATACGGTCTGAAAAAATCTGTATCCCACTATAACTTTTGTCAGGAAACAAGAAATGTGTTCATATTCACTGCTGTTATTAGACATGATGTACAGTATTCATAAAATAAAACACTAGATGATAGGCCATCACCACCTGTAGATTTTGGGGGGGGGATACATATTTTGGCAGGTCGAAAATACGGTCTGAAAAAATCTGTATCCCACTATAACTTTAGTCAGGAAATAGGAAATGTGTTCATATTCACTGCTGTTATTAGACATGATGTACAGTATTCATAAAATAAAACACTAGATGATAGGCCATCACCTGTAGATTTTAGGGGGGGGGGGTACATATTTTGGCAGGTCGAAAATACGGTCTGAAAAAATCTGTATCCCACTATAACTTTAGTCAGGAAATAGGAAATGTGTTCATATTCACTGCTGTTATTAGACATGATGTACAGTATTCATAAAATAAAACACTTGATGATAGGCCATCATCGGTAAAATCGTTGTTTGCCTATGTATAAGTGCAATGCATTATTGAATGATTTTGGTAATAATTCACCATGGAAGGAGGGGAGGGGGGGGGGGGGGGTAAGAACAATTTTATATCCACGGGCTGTTTGCTTGTGAAACGATATGGTCGTCTTAGTTTTTCAGTACATTCTCGTGAGAATTGATCCATTCCGTGCATGAAGCTAGATCGTTTGCCCACAAAATAATTAGTTTTTGATGGGCCACATGATATCTGTCTTTGCTAAACCTCGTCGATAAAAAAAAACAAAACAACAACAACAGTAAAACGATGACTTAAACAATTCACGTGTTATAGTTTAATTCATCTTGGACAAAGTAATGACACACCTCCTGCTGAATGCGTGCGCGCTCCCGCGACCGGGGATACACTTCCTTTCAGGGGTAAGTACCTTGGCACGACACCGGCGTCCACATTGAGCTGTTGATATGTAAACGCCGCCTGTTCGCCTAGGGGAAGAAACAGATCAACGACATTACACCGCTACACTTTACAACAGCGCCATCTGGCCGAAAGAAACGGAACAACACAATCAAGCTTTCAAAAGGAATGGCATAAAATAACCATTTTGAGGTCTTCCTATTGTGAGAAACGTTTTAAAAATTAAATAATTTTTTTACACTTACTCTTAAAAAATAAAGATTGGAGAGAAAATGTAACCATCGCAAATAGGTTTTTGTTATAATTCCAAAGAAAGAAGAACTGTTTTGGGTTCTCCAAGTGAACTGTTCAAATAGGCTTTTTTCCTCTCTTAGTGTTTTTATCCTATGCTTTACGTTAGCCAATATTTAAATCATCTAAATAACCCTTTTTTACTATAAAGAACTATCTGTGCAATGGAAAGTTATCGAAGATGTAGGCTATCAGAGATGCCAATAATATTTTTTAAGAGTGAAGGCCTAAACTGGAGTGTTCAATAATTCATTCATTCATTCAAGAAAAAACACAGACCATCTTATAAGACAGTTAACTGGTTCCTTCACAGCATCTTTCAATGCCGGATTATTCATTTTAAAGAATTATACAAAGCTTTGTGGAAAGGTACACTTTACAAAGCATTTAATGGTTATAGTTAATTTTATCAAAGGAAATTATTTTTAAGGGATGGGGTTTTCAGTCAGTTGTAGGGGTCGAGTAGACTCAAACATGGGCCTACTGTTACAGTCATGGGCCTACTGTTACAGTTATTTGTGCTTATAAACGTAAACGTTTTTATTTATCTTTTTTTTTTTCAATTCATGATCTTTTATAATTCTGTTGTTAACACTTATGTCCTAAACACCGTGTGAAACTTTTAATTGGGTTTATACAGTATAATCCCTTTGAGACAATCTTAATTGACCATGCTTGCGGTCACACAACATTCAGCATGCAAAATACAACAATAATTCACTTGCTTTTTTAAGGCAATCATTTTCCTGATATTTTACCAGTAACGTGAACCCTAATGAGAAGTTAATACAATGATTTTGATTCAACAGTACTTGAGTATACCTGATTGACAAGTTTTCAATACAAATGTTAGTAAGTAGTGCCAACTAAAAAATGAATGCAATGCATTACTTCACTTAGAAATTTTAAGGCAATCGGTTTCCACACTTTTTCTAAGTAAAGTCAACTTATTACATTTTACATGCATTGCATTATGAACTACCTCAGAGGTGAGAATTGTTGGCTGTAAAAAAAAGGTAATATATTTGATGAAATCGTACTTGGCCTATACCAAACAAAGTATGAGCAGTAAGTTGTGACAACCAGTTTTACATTTTGATTTAACGTAAAAAAATATATGTTGTTAAGCATTTTTTTTAAAAACTTTTTTGTTATACAAGATTCAACTCATTTTTTAATGTCAGTTTAATGTAGTCCTAATTTAAGTTGAAATTGCATCCAATCTTTTTACAGTAAATAGCTAAAGGCTTATTTAGCCAATAATATTTTTTTTTAAATCATGCATTCACGTGACTTTTTTTTAAGACAGCAAGTTCGCTGTCATTGGGCCGTTTCTTTTTTGCTTAGCACGGATAGGCTATACATGCAGAAAGCAAAAAAGTATCAGAGATACAATAATATGTTTAAGAGTGAAGGCCTGTATATATATATATATATATATATATATATATATATTCATCTAAACTAAGTCATATATATATAGTCATCTAAACTAAACCATGCGTATAAATGCATGTGTTATCTCGGAGCAACACTAAAACTCACCAAATCCGTGATAGCGAACGTTTATCAAATCTGCCCACTAACGCAGCAATATTCGCCCCTGGGAACAGAACTGTGAGAGTTGTCCTGTCATCGCCCTTGTCCCGTCTGTGCAATCAGTGTGGATTTAAGCAGCCTAAATGTAGATCTCATTATTCACTTGAGAACCAAGTGATTACTTTTGCGGCTCTCTGAAATGATGTCCCGACTGGTAGCTATCCTATTAAACAACATTTGCAAAGCTATGTTTTCATATGTTAAATAACGACTCGTCTCAGGCTTTCATTGATATAGGCTAATAGGTAGGCTACTGTAGGTCAGGATCGAGCACGACAGGGAGCGGGTAGTAAGATTAGTAATATGAGCAAAGAAGATTTGAGGCTTAGCGCCGACCTCAAAACTGGCTTTTGCGCGCAAATGGTTCCTTGCGCTTTTCAACGATGACAACGCAAACGTGTTTTGTTGTGTAGTTTATTAATGGCTGTAATAAATGTGCTCGAATAAAACCTGTTTATTTAAGCCACTTTATTTTAATTTAATTTTTCCGTGTCTGGTGATGTTCACTCAGATGTTCTGGATAGCCTACTCGAGCAGAGTGGTTGGCAAGTGTGATTAAAGACAGTCTTCCAAAATTCTTTGGAGTTGTAGGCTAATAGTGAGTGACATCCATCACCAGAGGTATGACTAGTGAGAACGTCTTTTTAATCGTGCATTTATCATAGGCTACTTTATACGCTCAAATTCATTGCGCATCGTGCCGGGCATGCCTTTGATGGGGACGCGATCGCTTATAAAGATGAGATCTTTTTCTTCCCCCCAAAATAATGAGGATTGAATCCTTATTCTTTTTTCTGTCGTATAAAATGTTCACATTACACCTGTCATATTTAGAATGTTGTGCTTGGACACCAGACTATTCCAGAATTGATCAGAAATGCCATGAGGTCCACAGTAGACTAAAAGGTGTGTCGTTCTTCAATTTCTCCATTATTTATTTAATTCATTTAAATACATTTTAAATTCTTACAGAATGGAATATTTAGTGATTTTTTTTTATTATTAAAAGCTTTTATCTACCACAAAGACAGCGAATTAGGCGTAGCCTACTAATTTTGTAGTAGTTTTGTTAAATTACATTTAACTTTTTTAAGCTGTAGGCCCTACATGCCATTTTGGCGTTCAAAGAACGGCATGGCAACCAGAATTAGATGAAAGACTACATTTAAACTTTAAGATGTCTTAAGTTTGTAACATGCATTTTGCACTCTTAAAGAGAGAGTAAATCAAATTAAACTATTTTGACCTGAATCAAAATGCCTGACACTATCCGATGTGTGTGTGAAGCTGTGTCAACGAGTAGCCCATGAACTTTAAGCAAGAAACAGGCTGTAACAAAATCAACAATAATCCCTAAACCTATTTCGCTTTTTCTTTATTTCTTAGCAAACAAATCAAAATCAAGTTTTTAAAACAAGCTGCATGGTTAAGATATTTGAGATTTAATATTTGAGATTTTGTGAATATGCTTTTGTGAGGGGTTGAAAACCACACTGAAGCAAGACAATGCGTGCTTTCTGCTGTAGCCTTTCTGTTGTCATCTGAATGTGTGGTTAGAAGTAAAGAGGTGCAATACACAGCAGGATGTAGACATCAGGCTCTCATGAAACAGATTGATCTAAACCTGCTTACTTTCACATACTGATGTCCATTCAAAGTGACCCAATGGCTTTACATTCATATAAAACTTTTTACTGAAACAAAATACTGTATACCCAAAAAATTGGTGTAAACATAATCACTTTAACACATGTACCATAAATCCTAAATAACCAAATTGGTGTTATGATTTGAAAATGTATTTTTGACCATATAGACCCTTAATTGCTTATATATAGCCTGTAGTGATGTATGAATACATTTTTTATTTGTAATTTTACTTATTTATAGACTTAAATTACTTTACAAGCTGGTTTGTAAAAATCAGTAGCCTATATTTTGGTGATTCGCTTATTGTTGAGAGAAAATCAACATTCAGAAAGCAAATTTACATTTTTCACAAAACTCTTAATACTCAAGACAGGCATAATAATTTTAGGTTTATCGCAATTAATCGCATCCAAAATAAAAGTTTGTGTTTACATAATATATGTGGGTGCACTGTGTATAATTATTTTATATATAAATAAAATACAAACACATGCTTGCATATATTTATGAAATATTGTCATGTATATACTGCATATAGATTTATATATAATTTATATTACATATAAATATAAATATTTTATACATAAATATTTTTTTTTCTTAAATATAGATGCATGTGTGTTTATTTATATATACATATACAAAAACACATTTTGGATGCGATTAATCGCGATTAATCGCTTGACAGCCCTAAATAATTGTATTTTTTTCTATGTAAAGAAATATATTTGATATTTATAGAATGGAATTTTACCATGACGTTGCACATATTTGAAGTGCAGGGTGGGGAAATGTTTTAGACTCAGTTTGCGAGCGAAGGTGTGGGCGTTCAGCACTGGTTGTTGTTCTCTCACCATACTCCTCTTTTCATCTCAAACCCGTGAGGTTAGATCAAAACAAGTAACAGCATCTAGAATAACAGCAGACTGTCAGACACAGCAGAGTCAACCGACAAACAGAACACCTGCTCAATCTGTTGACCTTTCAGGAGAAAAATCTGGAGATTTGAGCAATACAGACCAAGCCACACAAAAATGCAATAGTGATATATATATATATATATATGAACCTGAGAAATCCAACCTGATCTCTTGTTTTAGCAATACCACATCAGCACAACTTCCTTTTCAGCCTCATGCATTGCCATCTAGGAACGAATAGTGACAGGCTTTAGTAACTTCAAGTTAGTAACTGAAAACTGCATAAGCAGTCATTCTAGGACAGTGCTTCTTAAAGGGATAGTTCACTTTGAAATTAATTTTTGATATGTTTTATCTTACCTCAAGGGGATCCAAGATGTAGGTGTCTTTGTTTCCACAGTATTTTCAATTTTGACATTTTTTGGTCAAACGGTTGTTGTCTATCAGTCATACACTGGAGGCTAAGGGGGTCCTCAATCGGTTCACCTCAAAAAGCAAGCACAGAGAAGTCAAAATTAAACATGATTTAATGACTCGTAAATGTAAGTACACACTGATGGCCTAAGACACGAAACGAGTGGGTATTTATAGTGAAAACGAACAGTATTTATATCGTTTTACCTCTTGTAATCATAGCCATGACAAACTGAAATGACGGCACGGGCGCTTCGGTCTGCACATGCGCTGGAAATGATCGCTTGCGCGCCGACGTCACTCTTTGTTTATACAGAGATTTCGGAAGTTTTGCCTTTCACTAAACATATTTAGATTTACGGGAAACCGCAATGGAAGACGATTTCAGTATATCTAAATATGTTTAGTAAAAGGTAAAACTTCCGAAATCTCTGTATAAACAAAGAGTGACGTCACACGCAAGCGATCACTTCCGGCGTAACATTGAACTGATTCAGTTCGGTTCAGTTGGACATGCACAGCTGATTCAGATCACTGTGATTACACGAGGTAAAAACGATATAAATACTGTTCGTTTTCTCACAAAAACCGCTCGTTTCGTGTCTTAGGCCATCAACGTGTACTTAAATTTACGAGTCATTAAATCATGTTTAATTTTGACTTCTCTGTGCATGCTTTTTGATGGACCCCCTTAGCCTCCAGTGTATGACTGATAGACAACAACGGTTTGACTGAAAAATATCTAAATTGAAAATACTGTGGAAACAAAGACCCCTACATCTTGGATGCCCTTGAGGTAAGCTAAAACATATAAAGTCTTAGACTTCCGAAATGTGCAATGGTCTCCAACAGGTTTGAGAAGCTCTGTTCTAGGAGTCCTAAGAAAAGTGCATGGCCCTGTTTCCTGCAAACACCAAAGTAAATGCAAGAAGTAAAAATGCTATTTAATTTTGGCAACATGTTGACTAATTATTTAACACCTTTGAGGGCTGCACACCTGAAAACTGTAATGTACAATGTAAAATCTACAATCTTGGTGTATCTTTTGCACAAGTGAGTCATATGGGCAAAAAGGTCCACCCACTGAGTACTTCTTAAGGGATTCATTCTTTCTTCTTTTGTTTCTCCTTGCAGGCCATGTTCTGTCAAACTGGGTGGCGTTAAGATTGCCGTGTTTAGTTAAAAGTGGCATACATCTAACTTCTTTCAGATCTTTGGAACTGCAGACATGAGCACCTCGACGCATTGTTGGATATGGTTGTGTGTTTGCATTTTGGCTTCACGCAGTAAGTTATTGTTTTTGCTTTTATTTTAAGAATCTCACCTCATTCATTTTAAAGAGCAACTATTTAATCTGATATTCTAGTCATAATGTCAGACATATTTCATTAAAAAATGTTATTCTCTTGTTTTTTAGCTGCTTGCTCATTCCTCGTGTCTCAGACACCGGAGCTCAAACACGTCTCAGTTGGTGACACTGTAAAATTGAAATGTACATTTGAGCAGAAAGTTTCTTACTGCTATTCTGCTGTAGTATGGCAAAAGCTGAACCTACGGACTGGTAAACTCACACCGGTGATGTCTGGCTCACATCAACATGATGAGAAAACTTGCGTTCTTACTTTAACAAATGTAGGACAGAATGATTCAGGGTTGTACTACTGCATTAGCCATCATAACTCAATGGCTATTGTCGGCAGTGGAAGCAGGGTGATCGTAACAGGTAAATCTGGGGTTAAATCTCATCAGCTTTTCTATGGGTCACGGTCACTATATCAGATGACATTTTGCTGTGATATGTGTTGTAGATCACTCTGTTGTGGAACCAGTACTGTCCATCTTATACTCAGTATCAGACACTGGCTCATCATCGGTAGCACTGCAGTGTCTGGTGACCGGGGTTGACCCGTCTCAAGTGCAGGTGTTCTGGAGGATTGGAGAGAAAACGCATGTCGGATCATGGACCGAATTCGGCTGGACAAACTCCACTGATTCACACACAGAATTCAAGCGCGCTCATCTCTCTATCTCTGCGGATGAGTGGACAGAAGCCGATGAAATCCAATGCTTTGCTGAATATAATGGCATAAACACGTCCAAAACTCTGATGCGATACGGTGCAGGTAAATTATAAAAATCTCAGAGAAACACATCAGGAAAAATAACAGGTCTACACCGATTAAGTTTAAAAATGTCAACCGACTAAATTGATTTTATTCAACTTACTGTTGAAGAAAGTTGAATTGGAACTCTGAAAACTGATAAAAAAGAGTAAAGAAATGATAACCGTTTAAACTAAAATACAGAACACTGCACTGAATTTTGCTTTTAGTTATTAATTAACTTAAGCATATGTATTAATTACTCTGCTCATTGCTATATTTCAGAAACCCAACCAATCTTCTCCTGGCTTCTGTACGCCGGCTGCGTGGCAGCGCTCCTCACCATACTTATATCAGTCATGATGGCTGTAGGATTGTACCGAGGTGAGAATTTGGTGCTTCTGATTTTGAGGATGTTTAAATATATATACCTTAAATAGTTGGGACTTGCACTGATTGAGGATTGAATTTGCAAAATAAATGCCTAAAAATGAGTTTTGTTTTGCTGGCTGGGCCTTTTTCAGGTTTGATTGGACTTTACTGAGTAAAGTTGTCTGACAAACAATCCAACATAACCTTGAATGTTCATTTATGTTGATAAATGACCTATTGAAATAAGTCTGTATAAGTCTTCAGAAAGTCCATATTAGAAGAATTTTACTTACTAGAATATTCATGTTGTTAAATATTTTGAAGGAAATATATAAATGTGGAAAATTCATAAAAAAATGCAGAGCCAAAATTATTAGGATATATGCTTTAAAACTAAAGTAACATCAATCAATTCTGCATTAATTATAAGGCACATGCTTTGGTAATGTTGTTTAGCCGATATATGATACATTGTGGCATATTTTTTACATATTACATATTTTCATTAAATTCACAGATATGTCGGTGAACAAAAAAAACAGAGGGTCAGTATTTCAACTTCTACCATATAAACTTCATAAAGTTTATTTTGTGAATGTAATTGAAGCAACTTCACCAAACTGTTTTTGTTTTCAGTCTCACAAGAAAAGATGCCCACCGCAAAATTTCATATGGTAATATGCCCTTTCAAACTGTTTTATGTTGTATTCTAATATATAATATGCAATAATAGCTGTAAAGCAATAAGTAAAAGTAAAAAAAAAAAACGGCAAACACTAAATAAAAGTGTCTATATTTATCCCTTTAACAGGCAAACAGAACACAATGAGAGAAGAGAGTTCATCTGTTATGGTAAGAGGCAGAAAATTGTGGAGACTGAACTATGTCTTCCGCTGTTTAAAACAACTATTTTATAATTCAAGTGAGATGAATAATTAACTAATAAGCAAACTCTAAATATGTATTATACAATATGAACAAGGCTTAAGATAATATTAAATGGGAAAAAATATAAGTATAAGTATGTGGTTATTGAAATTTGACATTGTTTTGCCTGTTTCAAAAGTTTTCTTGGAGCTTGGCACTATGAATGTATTGGAATGGAAAATAGCTGTGTTTATGTATTACATGACTCTCTTTCATTTGATTTCAGGATTGAGCAGTTAAAAATATATGTTTAATGACCAATAAACTAAGAGAGAAAGGTCATGATGGAACTTTATGAAGTTTTGTTAGTGTGTTTTCCTTTTTGTACGTAGGATTTATTTCGTGGTTTTTGACCAGTAAACTATTGTTGAACAGCAGATTCGATTAGACAAAATATTTTACATGCAAAACTATGCTTTTGCAAACCTTTTTACCAAACAAAATTTGTACTAACTTTAAATAATTATATTTTATGATCTTAAATTTTGTCCAGTGTTTCTCTGGGGATCTCATCAGTCAGGGACAGGATACGAGTCCATCAAAAGAATAAAGGTAAAGCAAAGCAGAATTTTGTATGAATTATGTGCAACAGCTAATAATAACCCATGCAATGATCATTCTCACATGGCCTTTTTTTCTTTTTTAGGGTGCTATTAGTGGAGAAGTTTGGAGTGTGTTAAAAATGACTGAAATAAAAGTTAGAAAATGAAACATATTGCCTTAATACAAAAAAAGATGACCTGTTCTTAGAAAATGTAGGTTTCTGTCTATATTTCTGTTATTTTAAGTGTTTTTTTTTTACTTTTCCTCCTAATACAAATCTGTCCTCTTAAATCATGCCTCTTTGTAGACCATCACACTTAGACCATTTTCCAGATTAGTTCATTTGATGTGACATTTTTTATAAGTTATATTTGTCCGGAATTAGGAAAATAGGCTAATTCAAAATACAACCTTAATGGCATCATGCTCTTAAGAGAGTGGCACCAATTTTATAGTCTTTTGTAATTCTATAGCTTTTTTGTGAAAGTAAAACATGAGCTCGTGAGATTGTTCATATGCATATTTTCCTGTGATGGGTTGAAAAACCACAGTGCATGTAAAAAGACAATGTGTGGCCTCTTGTTGTAGCCTTCAGTATGCTTGTGGTTAGACATAAACTGCATAACAGGATGTTTGATGAGATGAAGTGCATGCACACCTGCTTTTGCTGTCCATTTTTACAGCAACTCTACTGATTTGAAACTATTTATACTGGACCTTACACCTTATGTATTAATCTATTTTTTTACAGTCTATGGTATTGATACATAATGTAATCATTTGTCACCCCAACCAACCTAAATTATGAACTTGGTCTGACGATAAAAAAGACTGCAAATTGATTGATTGATTGATTACTTGTATTATCCCCTTTGAAATATGTGTTGCTTGTATTTCAACATGCATACATAAGACCAACAATACACATAAATAAATAAAAAGAAAGAGTTAAAGTATAAATATAACAGTGTATACTTATAGTTAACTGTATTATTTTTGCACTTAAGCAAAGTTAAACCTATAAATCTGCAAGAAATCACTTGAATATATTTTGGAATATAAAAAAAATCATATTTAATGATAACAGATTGGAGAGCAAAGTTGTGAACATTACATCAGCGTCATTTGTTTTCCTCTTTTATATTATGCAAATTTACAGATCTTATAATGCGAGCTCTGAATTAACAACATTTCTGGTTGCACACTATTAAGGGAGTATACTTTTATTTTGTCCATTTTACTTGGTAAAATGTAAAGCATAGTGCACCCTTACAAAAACAGGTATATAAAATAAAATATAATTAATATTTTTATAAAATATTATAAAATATATTTATAAAATATATTTTACATTTAATTCATGTAATATGTATTTTAATACTACATGAACTAAATTGGCCCACATTTTAGTGTATAAAATACAGTTGAAGGTACATTTCAAGTAAATGAACACCTAGTTGTGTACTTATAGTTAACTCTATAGAGTTAACTATAAGTATACTATACTGTTATGTTTAGGTATCCATTTACTTAAAATGTACCTTTCAAGTATTGAAATGTACCGGTATTGTCAGTTTGTGAGCGAGGCGAGGGTGTGGGCGTTCAGCTGGCCACTGCTCTTTTCATATCACACACTATAGTTAGATAAAAACTTGTGACAGCACACTGGTGGTTTTAAAAAGAGTAGTTAACAACTTCTCAGCTTGTATAGATTGCTACACAGAGAAACAAATACTAACTAATCCAATAATTGTAGATGTTGAAATAGACTGATTGTTTTTCAGCAGGAACACAAAAGTGCTACTTTGCAGCTTATTTGATTAAAGCATTATTACCTGCATAATACGTTACCTTATAAGTTATAAGAGTGTAATTTGCAACATAAAGAGGTCTAGTATCAGTGCAGGGATTTCTAAATGCTAAGGTCCACCCACTGGTGAGGGGTTATTTGTGCAAGTAAATGAAACTCTTGTGTACTGGCATTTTTTGGCATTACGATTGTGACCGTTAAAGGTGACATTAAAGGTGCATCAGAGCCTTAAAAGCGTTAACATGAATACCTGGACGTGCTGTTGGATTTTATGTTTTTGCATTTCAGCTTTACAAAGTAAGTATATGCAAGTTAAGAATGTCATTATCTCAGTTTATTAATATTTAATCATGTTGAATATTTGTTTTAAAATTTCATTCTCTCGTTTTCAGCTAATTGCTCATTCCTCGTGTCTCAGTCACCGGAGCTCACACACGTCTCAGTTGGTGACACTGTACAATTGAAATGTATATTTGAGCAGAAAGTTTCATACTGCTATTCTACTGTAGTATGGCAAAAGCTGAACCTACGGACTGGTAAACTCACACCGGTGATGTCTGGCTCACATCAACATGATGAGAAAACTTGCGTTCTTACTTTAACAAATGTAATGACTAAAGATTCAGGGTTGTACTACTGCATTAGCCATCATAACTCAATGGCTATTGTCGGCAGTGGAAGCAGGGTGATCGTAACAGGTAAATCTGGGGTTAAATCTCATCAGCTTTTCTATGGGTCACGGTCACTATATCAGATGACATTTTGCTGTGATATGTGTTGTAGATCACTCTGTTGTGGAACCAGAACTGTCCATCTTATACTCAGTATCAGACACTGGCTCATCATCGGTAGCACTGCAGTGTCTGGTGACCGGGGTTGACCCGTCTCAAGTGCAGGTGTTCTGGAGGATTGGAGAGAAAACGCATGTCGGATCATGGACCGAATTCGGCTGGACAAACTCCACTGATTCACACACAGAATTCAAGCGCGCTCATCTCTCTATCTCTGCGGATGAGTGGACAGAAGCCGATGAAATCCAATGCTTTGCTGAATATAATGGCATAAACACGTCCAAAACTCTGAAGCGATACGGTGCGTATAAATGATAAAAATCTCAGAGAAACATATCAGGACAAACGTTTTGTGTTAGCCTGTATACTTTCCCATTTTATTCTTAGTTTTTTTTTTTTAAGAAATATAGTTTAGATTAATTGTCACATTAAAAGGTTACTAAAAAAGTTACTAAATGTATAGTAACTATACTATTATCATTATCAGTACTATTATCAGTAACTATTGTCATAGTAACTAAAACTTTTTGATTCAAAAGGCCATTTATGCAATTTAATAAAATATAAAAATTGGCAGTGGTTTTGTGTTACAGACACCTATCAAAACCTTAATTAAGTGATTCAAAATTATTAAGGCCAAAGAAGAATAAGTTTAATAACCGAATCTCTGTTGTGTGAACAAAATTATACATTTGTGTACATTCAAGCAAGATACTCTATATAAAAGGACCAAACCTTGGTCTCCACTATAAAACACTGTACTTACTAAATATTAATTATTTATTTTATAGTGATGGTTAACCTTTCAGAATGGAATCAAAGGACTTTCTGGCCTCTTTACTGTTGCTTTGGGGCAGCAGTCCTCATGGTTGTGGTCTTCTCTATTTGTTTATGCCAAGGTAAAGATTTAAATCAATCTGAAAACTTGTTTTGTTTTATTTTATGTAAATATTATAACTAGAAGTAAAACTAAAAGCGCATCTGGGGAAATTGTCATTTTTTAATTTTTATATTATAAGTTTTCATTATTTATGAGTTTGGTAATGGGCAGTAAAAGTGCATATTTACAGGGAAAAAGCGTATTAAACAAAACTTGAAAAAACTTGAATAATTGGGGAAAAAATGTGGATTACTTACAAAATATTGGTGACACTAATAAAATAATGTTTTTGTATTTGTAAAACGTTTTTGTTTTATGTTTTTTTCTGAAGAAAACATAAATAGTGATTAAGCCAAAATATTAAATAGTAATTTTGTAGAATAGAGAATGAAACATTTTTTTTCTTTCTAAAAATTGACTTTAGAAAGAAGGCATTATAATTTTTTTTTTACAGACTTTGGTAGGTCTGTTAGTGAAATCTGTTGACTTCAGCAATCACTGTACATTATATGCCAACAGTAACAGTTCAAAAATGGGAAAAAGTATGTCTTGTGTTTTTTTTGTTTTTTTTTTGCCCCAAGTCTGCATGACTGCAAGTCAAGAAGTATTAAAAATATGGTAATATCCTTTTAGATTTATTTTTTTAACAAATATTTATTTTGGTATCTTCATTCTAAAGGGCCTATACTGTATGGTTTGATGGAGATTTTAATGCATCTCCTCCATAAGTAAATTGGTGAACTGTGCACATTTTAAGATGGTCATCAGAAACCAAATGTGGGTCACTTTGCATATACTTTTTACTTTTAAAGAGGAATATCTAAACAACAAATAATGTTGAAACTGAAATGTATTTAATTATTTTGTCTATATCAACACAATTGCATAATATACCAGTCTCAGTGGCATAACCACATTTTTTTCTAAAGTTTTTATCACTCAAAAGTATTGTTCTGTAAACTGTAGGCTACTGTATGCTATTCTGTGCATATAAACATGTAGTCTACCAGTAGCTTCATCATTGCATTGAATGCATCTTTTTATTAAATATATTGTATTATTTACCCTTTAACAGGTAAACAGAGTGCTGTGACTGCAGAAATGTCATCTGTAACGGTAAGCGTGGTATAATCTAATAATTATAGATATGTAAATATGTTTTTTTTTTTTTTAAATCTTGACAAAATTATTTTTTATAAAGTCAATAATAGTTTTGGTGTGGATATTAAACTTTTTAATTTTTTGTCTAGTTTTATCCTGTGGATCCCATTAATTTAGGAGAGAATTTAAGTCCAACAAGAAAAAAATAAAAGGTAAAAATAAAATGTATGTATTCTTTTTGACTGTGAATTACGTATGTGAAACAGTAGTCAATCCTTGCAGCCTGGTCTCATTGTAATACATTAATACGTATTTTTAAAAGACACAAAACATCGATAGATGCTGAAACATATGGAAGTACAGGTATCTGCAACATTTAAATGTAGTGTTATTACAGCTACAAATCTTTTTACAATTACAAATCTTTCATATCATAAAAATTTTATCACATACCATTTTATAGATAAATGTAAGATCTCTTAACCCAACTCCAAAACCTAAACAAAGCCATTTAATGCAGAATCTAAAAAGAATAAAACGTGGGCAGATGTGAAGGGAAATGACAGTTTTAGTAACAATATAGCATTAAAAATATATTTTGAGCTGCCAATCCAACTCCTACCCCTAAACCCACCAATAGCCATTTCTTAAAACTACATAAAGTTATGCTCAAACGACGATGTGTTGCAGTTGCAGTGCTCTCTGGCGGTATATAATAGTTTTGTAAGAGGTACAGAGCAGAATTTAAGTTATTAATTAATTCATGACAATGATAATCTGGCTTCACTCTATGAAGGCGCACATTTGCCAATTTCATGAAACACGGCATGTGTATTCTCATGAGATCACGCTGCACAGCCCAGCCTTGTGAAGACCACTGTCAGATTTTCATCAGATAATCTGTCCTCTCTTTCAGGGCATCAATGGAGATCAGTGTTATTGGAAGAAATGTTGAAGTATGCCACACAATCATTGACATTAAAGTTAATTCTGTTTAAATTTACATCATTCCAAAGTTGTTGTTAAACCAAAATGATAAGAATAATATGTATTATTGTTTGATTATGTCTCCTCTTGGTTCCAAATAAAGATCCTTTTACTTTTTAAAACTGGAATTACAGCAGAAAAATGCCTTCTGTCTTTGAATCTTTTGTTAGGAAGCCAAGTTTATTAGGCCGTCAATGAGTAATTAAATCATGTTTAATTTGAGGTGGACTAAGACCTCCATTATATGCTGACAGACAACAACGGTTTGACCTAAAAGTATCAAAATTGAAAATACTGTGGAAACAAAGACACCTACATCTTGGATGCTCTTGTGGTTAGCTAAAACATATCAAAAATGAATTTCACAGTAAACTATCCCTTTAATGTCATTTATCTTCAGATTATCTAAAGCTGTGTCTGGATAAAGCTAGAGTTTGTTTCTTATTACTCTTTAGAAAGATGTTTGAAAGAATTTTTTCAGGAACATCACACTCAAATAACATTAAAAAAAAAATCAATATTTTTATGTTCTTGGAATGTTAGAAATCAACGTTCCTGTAATGTTGAATTTTAAATCAAAATGAAGTTGAAAGAACGTTTAAGGAACATTAGCCTATACAAATTACCATCTCAGCGACCATGCGCTTGCTCCCAGCTAACAGACTTTTGTTATAAGAATGTTCTCCAAATATTCAATGTTGGTTCTGGGAACGTAAACAATTTCCAGTTTTCCTGACGTTAGAGGAACGTGTTTTATGTTTAATGTTAAAAACAGAGAACATTACCTCATGGTTGTGGTTGTTCCAGATGGCCATGATTCTGTCTTGGGAGACAAGGCATGTGAAGACCTGGGTCTAAGAAGAATATACGCCATAAATAAAGGACATTCACTATAACATTGGCTATAGTGAAACAGTTTCCAGACATATTTGAAGGGTTTGGAGTATTACCTTTCACAGTTGAAAAAAGATGCGCAGCCAGTAGTTCATGCACCAAGATGGGTTCCAGCACCACTTAGTCGCGATAAGCTGAGGCAAGAGCTGGAAAGAATGACATGTAATAACTTGTTGTTTACCTCTAATGGAAATGGGACGTAGTGATAGTCCCATTGATGAGTACAGAAACTAACCACTAGGTGTCAGTAGCATTACACTTAGCCTACCGGTAGAGTATGCAGACCGAGAGTCAGTAAAGTGGAGTTTTACTGTTGCTGCTCGTGACAGTGAATAAAAGATCATTTCTGTTAAAAACCTGTTTCTTTAAAGAAATAAGATACATTACAATTATCAAATCCGGATTACTAGTGCTCTGAATGGGACATCAAATTTCAATGTGGGCATTACAATGTGTATATATATATATATACATATATAAATCATTTTTGTTTGTTATTGAAATCTGTTTGGGGGATTATTTAGTGGGGCCATTTTTATTTGTATGTTACAATATAATGAATAGCTTAATTGGTAGCCTATGTCTACTTTATCTACTTTATCACTATTACAATGGTTACACAAGTCAAGTGCAAAGAATAAATAAAAGTTTATACACTAAATGATACAAATGTATTATTTTACCAATTTTAAAGGTTTACTACATTTTCTAACTTTCAGTAAAGTTATCCAAATCCTACTGACAAGTTTTGAACAACACAAACTGAAGGTTTGATCCAGATTAAAAACTAGGATTGGATTCCATGATCTAATCTGATTTCAGATTCATTCTTTCACTTTTGAACAACCCATTTTCAAGATTTGATCCAATCCGATAACCAATGTATTATTTATTTATTTTTAATGTGATGTATCGGAACATAATTATATTTTATTTCTTTACTTTCTGCCTTGTTGCATTTCCTTGTTGCATCACTATTCATAATTCATGATTTGCATGCCTATATTTGTAAAGATATTTTTCACATTATTGACATTGCATACAATCTTAAATGGGATGGCAGAAACTGGATGATGTCTGTTATTATCATTTGTAGTACGCCTTTATTCAAATGTAATCTTTCACATGCAGGATCACTAATTTTACATCTCACATTTGCATAAAATGTACTCACATAAACATAACAAGCAAATAATTATCCTAAAAGTTGTGTCGTGTTTGTAAAATAAAACCTATGCGAACTAAGCAAAGTTGATTCAAGCTTTATGCAAAAATATTCATTTGTAACAAATTGTATTTATTTATTTGATGTTTTCAGGTTATAGAATCAAATACAAAATTTCTGTGGTTTAGAAGCGTCCTGCTAATATTAATGAGGTAACGAAAAAGAGAAGAGCAGTGACAAGTGCAAAAAATCGAGTTACACCGACAAGAGGATAACAAGTGTCCTGAATATCTGAGGAAAAGAAGAAAATGAAAAACGTTTACAGCACTTCAGTCAATAAATCGTAGGCCTACTGATCAATATTTTGGACAGATAACAAAATTTGCTAACTTAGTGAGTATATGGATTATGAAAAGTTATTTACCATAATGATGAAGAGTTGTGTTGATCATCCATCCACCAAACTTCACCACACAGGTGCTCCCTTCAATCCTCCACTCCTCAGCGGATACTGCTACATAATTCTGAGTTTTCACTGAGTTGTCTTCGCCTTCTTCCCAAACAACCAACGTCTGTCCATTTTCTTTTCTACTACCTATGAGCCAGTACACAAAGACCTGTGATGGAGCAGATCCCCCGACTGTACACTGAAGAGTGACTGTAGAGTGGTTGTTGCTGCTGGCAAATGCCACGATATCAACAGACGGCATAACAGCGCTGTCAGCTGTGAGAAGAGGAGAGATGCAATTTTAATTATACAAAATAACAAAAGGACCTGGGCTTTCTTATGAACACAAACCTTGAGTACCACCATGTTCTAATACAGTACCATATACAGTGACAGCTGTGCCATTCCCCAGGTACATATGCTCACGGTCTGTAGCGATGCAGTAATATGTCCCAGAATCCTGGTCCGTTGCGTTGTAGATGGACGCCTGACACACTGGGTTTTCCACCTTATCTTTAGTCTGAGGGGGGATCTTCGCATCCTGCAGAATGTCCAATCTTCCAGTCACTGGATTTACTCGGACCCAGGCCACTGTGTGACAGAATGACTGCACCTCATTGAGTCGGCAGTGCATGGTCACTGTCTCCCCCGATCTCACTTTCACTGACGGGGGAAACTGATAAACTATTCCCGCCATCGCTGCAAAGGGATTCAGACCTCAAAATGTGAAAAATTAATATCATGGTCTCAATTACTAGTTAAAATGTACTAAAATGCATAAATGAAGAGAAAAAATACTGTTGTAGCTTACCTTGTGGAGAAATGAACCAGGACAAGACAAGAAAAAGGAGGTCATGCATGCCGTCTGAAGACTTTACAGGTCAAAGCAACTGAGAAATGCGCAGAGTATGGCATATCACACACCTTTTCCTGTCTGTCCACGTCGTTTCATCTGCTTGTTGATAAAAAAACTGATAGGCTACGATGAAGCTCGGGTAGATTCTGAGGTGGACCTGGAACTTAATTTCTTGTCTTTACTTTTATTCATGATATAATAACACAGTCTCATCCCAAGAAGTCATATGACTGACGACTTGGGACGTCTTTTGACCATACGTCAACATCCGCCTTTTAGGGTACCCTTAAACGTCGGTTAGGCCTACATCATAGATATATAAAGGCTAGATGCGTTACGGCGGAGTTTCCATCGTCATCACCGGCGGCCATCTTGTCACAGACAAGCTGATCATGTAAGATGAGTGGTCAGCACGAACACAAATACTCTTATCTCGTTGAAATCTTGACGGATTTATAAACGGTTTGGTTTCCTACAAACGTTATTAACGTGGCTATAATTATCTGGATGATTATTTATTTATACACTTTTTATTCATTAAGTATGCAGTGTCATAATAACTACATCTCTGACGTTTATAACAAAACAAACATTTTGAAAATCGGTAGAAAATTGAGCAAGTTATGGTCATTTAAATAGTACACGTACCATTAACACAATGTTACGAGTGAATGGCCGCCAGGTGCAGACATCGACCTCCATTGGCCAGCAGCGTGGACGACACATATCTAGCCTTTATATAGATATCTATGGGTTACATGAGGATCCTGGGACGTCATACAACTGACGCTTTCCCTTTAACGTCGGTTAGGAGACGGGGTATAGGTTTAGGTCTGGGGTAGGGTTAGGATGCGATAATGTCATCTAACCGACGTTCAAGGGTACCCTAAAAACCCCAAAATCGAATGAAATTAAAACATCAGTTAAACTCTTATCGCTAGTTATTATGGTTCTATGTAGGCAAATATAACAAAAATGCACAAACATGCATTGCAACTCTTCAAATGGCATGTTAAAATGGCACATCAAAAGTAGTAATCACATTTAATCTGAAACTTGAGCTTATTTTGATGAACGCAAAGATGATATCTTGGCTGGAATTGATGAGCGACACATATAGAGATCTAGATCCAGGAACTGGCAAAAGTTAGGTCATTAAACCACAGTTTTGTCTTATTTTAGTGAGCTGCTCGTGTTGCCTCTAAATCCATTTCCTTTTTCCATTGCAGATTAGAAATGAGTCTCTTACCCAGTCAATGGTTTTGGATTAAGTTGAGGGGAAATAAAAGATTTTTTTTTTTTTGCTAGAAATGACCACACACAATTCTGCAGAGCTGTCTGAATGGGGCAAACATTTAAAGAGAGGCTCTTTCCATGTGTCATCGCCAATCCAGACTATATCTGTGCTAGACAATTAACACAATTTAACACAATAAGATCATAATTACCAAATACATGAATGTAATCTACAGACCAAAGCAATGTGGCACATACTTGTGCCCTACTTCATTTCAACAAAATCAGCAATTCTGCTCTTCCGCCAAAGACTTCAGGGTTGGAATCAAGCATCTCTGAGGTTTCATTTGCCGTACTTTTGAGACTGAAGTTTTTCCGCTGACAAAGCAAGGTGTGGACATTAACCAATATGATATGTGGTCCACATCACCCTTTTGCTCATGTGGTGCATGCAACCACACACAAAAAAGAGGACACAGAAAAACAAAACACTGAAGGAGAGAAAAAAAAAATCACTTCCTGTCAGTGAACCTGCCAGTGCCACACATAACCAAAGTCACATAAAGCACAATTCTCCTTATTGCTGATACTTTGCTCCTAATAATTAGCCTACACTTGCCATTCAGTGACACATGACTGTCGACTGATCTCTAAAATACTTTTTATCTTTTAGCTTTAGCTTTTAGAGAAAGTATTTTTTCTCACAGCTCCGGCTTTAGATCATTACATAGCCTTGAGTCAGCTCTGTTTAGGGTTACAAATGATATGGATTCAGGCTCTTGTGTAGTGCTGGTTTTGTTAGACCTGAGCGCTGCATTTGAGACCATTGACCACAACGCACTCTTAGAAGAAATGGTTCTATTTAGAACCAGAAATGGTTCCATCCCCCGCTTCATATATAGAACTCCAAAATGGTTCTATATAGAACCATTTATTTTGGTAAAAGGTTCTATTGGCCAAGTGGAACCCCAGGGTTCTATATAGAACCCAGAGGAACCCTTTTTTTAAGAGTGTATAGAACCTTTTAGGGGTTCCAAATACTGTATGTAGCGCTGATAGAACCTTTTAAGGTTCTATATAGAACCTTTTCTTCTAAGAGTGCATTCTTCTTGAATGGCTAGAATGGTAGGTGTCAAGAGCAAAGTATTACAATGGTTTGCTTCCTACCTCAAAAAGAGGACTTTTTCAGTAAATTTAGGAAACTGTTCCTCGTCATCTGCGCCTATTTTGTTTGGTGTGCCCCAGGGATCTATTTTGGGACCTTTATTGTTTTCCCTTTATATGCTCTCCTTGCCCCTCATTTTTCAGAAGTACAACATTTCATATCACTGTTATGCAGATGATTCTCAGCCGTACCTTCCAGTAAGGCTTGCTTCAATTGATGTGTTATTGGAATGCGTATGACATAAAAAGGTGGACGACAAATTATTTTCTGCTGCAAAATGAGGATAAAACAGAGGTTTTAATTCTGGGTTGTAACTTTGGATCAATTTGTATTGTATTCAATGTGCTTTATAAATAAAGGTTGTTGCTGTTGTTGTTGATGGCTTTGGCTATAGGAAAAAAAATCATTATATATATTAATTCAAAATTGTTTATATGTTATCTTATTTTATCTGGTTTGAGATCATTGGTGTAAATTCATATGATTTCAAGAAAAAGTGGGTCAAACAATACATTTGCATAGATTTAATTAAAAAAAAAAAGTTGACTTTTTCCCAAAAAGATTTTAGTTTTAGATAAGACTAGTCTAAGTCTAAATTTATACTTTAAATTAACAAAATATCACACTATTCAAAACATCAAATAAACATCAATAAAAATCTGAAGCAAAAAGATTATAATTACTCATGAAACATGATTCCTGCAAATAGATATGCCAATTTATTTCAAATATTAGTATGTTAGTAACAATTGCCATTGTTCATCTGGTGTACAGCAATGCCAAACACAAAAAAAATTGACGAATAAAAGTTTTTTTAAAGCAATATCCGCTTGTTAAGTCATGATTAAGGAACGCTGTTTCCGGGTCCAAGGCTCTACTCGTTTCACTTGAGAATATTATTTCAACAGCCGTTCATGAGAAATAATTATTCATATATATATATATATATATATATATATATATATATATATATATATATATGCACACACATAAAAATGTACACTGTACACTAGGTCTACTTTGTGCTCACGGCGTCCCAAACTCAACTATTTTACATCTAATTATTGTCTGGCCATTTGGGTTTTCAATATGGAGGTGAAGATTAAGACTAAAAATGTTCATATTACATACTATCTTGAGTGTATATTAGCACTATTTGTTCTTTTCTTGGGGCATCAGAGCGTTTGGTCCTGGAAACAGTGACGCAAAATGTCAGACTGAACAAGAGGAGAGGTTTTTGCATAGACACATGTTCACAAAAGTTTTTCGTCCCACTTTATAAACATAAACAATCACTGTTATCAGAAACAGGAAACCAAAAATGAAGCAGAGAGACAGATAGATGTGTTTTACAGCATAACACACATTTGATGCATCTGCAGAGAGAGAGGATAATGGAAAATTAGAAAAAATAAAACACTGAATATTAAATATAAAGATGTTCATTAAAACCAATGAGTAAATAAATTAGGAACTAAGTAAAAACTAGGTTTGGGGTCATTTTTAAATGTTTTTGACAGAAGTCTTGCTCACAAAGAATGGATTTATTTGATCAAAAAATACGGCAAAAACCGTAAAATTGTGAAAGATTATTACAATTAAAATAACAATTTTGTAAATAAAATTAGTAAAAATAAGTATATGCAACCGGGAGGCAGAAAAAAGACGTGTTTTGTGGTTTCGTGTCGTAAGCTAGTAGCATAGTGGTGGTGTCTGTAATGTAAACATGACAAAACAGGAGTGTAAGGGCTCTGTCACAAAACCAAGAAATAGACCGACGTGACAGAACCCTGACAAAAACATTCATATGAAACAGAAATATTTTGTCTTTACTGTGAATTTTTTCATCAATTTAATGTATCCTTGATAATTAAAAGTTTTCCCCCTAACTCTTAAACTGTAGTGTATATTTTAGAGATATTGTACTGTACCATGATGTCGCTGAAGGGTCTTGGTATAGATCTGTCCTTTAAACTTCACCACACACACACACTTCACCTTCCTATCCCATTCTTCAGCAGTGATCAGAATTTGGTTCCTGGTGATCTTGATGCCACCATCACTCCCATGTGTCAAAACTGCCTGTCCTTTCTCTTTTCTCTTGTCTACGGCCCAGGACATATGTATCTGCGAAGCCTCAACGCCGGTCACAACACAATGAAGAGGGATTAAAAGACCGTTTGGGATCAGTGGTGTCAGAATATCAATAATAGGAAGCACAGTGTGCTCTGGAAAGAGATTAAGAGAAACATTTGGTTAATACTAACCATCAATAAAAGACTTTTTAAAATGTGATGTTGCTATTCAATGAATTTACTGTAAATCAATTCTATTAAAAGTGTAAGGCACATAGTCTACACTCCTAAAAATAAAGTTTTTTTTATTGGCATTGATGGTACCATCAAAACCTTTAATATAAATGGAATTATTCCATTGGGAAAAAAAGTTATTTTGATTATTGAAATGTTCATTACACAAAGAAAATAAAAATAAAAAGTTTTTTTTTCTTTCAGAAATGTTGACTGAAAGGTTATTTAGGGAAGCCAAAATGCTATTTCTATTGCACCATTACAATAAATAATAAATAATAAAAAATAAATAAATAAATACAGTTTTTATTTTTAAGAGTGAATGTATAAATGGGAGTCATGAATAAATCATGTAAAAACTGAAAAGACTGAAATGTAAAATTCTATTAAAAAAAAAACTGAAAAATAGTAGGTAAATAAGTAATCCTGGATATAAATTCTATTATTAAATCTCGCTATAAAGTTCATGTACACACTCACTCATTCATTTATTATTAAAGTCCGTTTGTAAAGTTGAGCTGATGGTGCCACCAATAATTTACAACATT